GGGCACGGTATTCAGCTGGTGATTCGTTGTTTGCTTAGCCCTGTAGCCACATGCGGCGTTGCATGATAGCTGTGTTTGCAGAGCAAATAAGGCTCTACGAGCAGAATTCACCATTTCCCTGATACTTGCAGGAGTGAATCAATGCTACCTAATAGCCAGAAGCATGAGCCGTAACTGCTGAATAGGACTGTTCATTTTGCCTTGTAAACACAACTGTTAATCTCTCTGGGGATTAAAAAAAAAAAAAAAAGAAAAGAAAAAGCTTAAAAAAAAGCATACTATTTCCTCCAAGCTTTCCACCCTTTCAACTGGGAAATGGGGGCAGGAGTCTCTTAAAATGGTAAGAAAAAAATGGAGCCACTTATCATTTCTGAAAAGCAATAAAGTGGTTATTGCTTGAAAGCCTTGCTTCCAAGCCCCTGCAATATGCTGAAGGAGAAAGGGGACAGTTTCATACGCTGATGATGGCTTGTCTGTGCCTAAAATACCTGTCTTGAATTCCACAGCAGAGAGCCAGCAGGTTTTGCTGTACAAACGCGAGAGAGATTCATGTGGATAGTCAGAGCCCAAATGCCTGTGGGAATAGTTCACTGAAAAATAGCACAGTTATTGCTAGTGCAGTGAGCAGGGCTTTGAATGCAGTGTTTAAAGAATCGTTAACTTCTTGTCTTGATCATGTGATGAGCTTTCCTGACGGGATTCAGCTTTGGGCTCTTTGAAGTGTTTTAGCCAAGTATTTACTATCTGCCTATATTACGGTAAATGCAGATCATTCGCACTTCTGGCTTTAATCCCTGTTCCTTGGCCAAATTCCAAGCTGAGTGATTTCATTTTTGCCTGTTGATGCAAAAATTTCTTATTGCTACTTTAGACTGCTTCTTCCCGACGTGTTCTGCCATGCAACGTCATGTTTCTGCATGTTGTTAATCAGCCGGCTTCTCCCATCCCAGAGATGACGGCAGTTCAGGGGTTGCTGTAACTCCCTTCGAGATCCTTCAGGCTGTAAAACAAGTGATGTCATTGCTTTGCTTAGCAAGTGGCACTTTCTCTCTGAAATTCAATAAATGCCTCCACTTCCTTTAGTACACTAAACGTGGTGGAAAACAACAGGCAGTCGCTAGCAATTCTTCCTTTGAAATCTGTGCTGGGGGAGAGGGCTGGGCTGCTCCTTTCGGCTGTGAAGGGGGATGTCTTCTCTCAGAAGAAATGCAGCCGAAGGGTGGACAAAGCCCCTCGCACCCTGGGGTGCTGCTCAGGGGAGGGGTGCCCGCCGGGGACCCCACGCTACCTGCCCCATGCAACGTGCTGCAGCCGTCTCGCGCGCAGGCTGTGGGCTGCTGTGCTTGCGGGAGGGGAGCAAATCCCAGCTTTAGGGCACCCGGATCCAAACGGCCGCTCGGAGCAGGACAAAATCCTTTCCGGGAGGAGTGGAGGGCTGAGGACAAGAACAGTCCCATAAATTCCAGCTGACAAAACACTTTAACGCGAACTCCATCACCAGAGGCCAAGCAGGTCCAGGTCTAGCTGGGAAAAACAGCCACAATTGCACAGAGCCATAAAGATAATGAGTACAGGGCAGGCTTGTGCATAGCAGGAGAGGTAGCTAGCGATGTCGGTGCTATTTTTACCCCCACCCCACTTCCTCTTCAAGGAGGTTTATATTTAGCAGCCTGTAGCTGCTGGCACTCCAGTTGGTGGCAAGGAGGGGAAGGATTTGGACTGCAATTTGTGGAGCACAAATCCTTGTCAGCGCGAAGCTGTTTACCTTCTAAACCGTTTGCACAGTTTTGAGGAGGGAGGTGGAAAGACCCCTTCCCCTCCTCGCTTCCTCCTTCACCTGAAGATGGAGCATCTTTTATGTTCCCTGTATCTTTCCTGGTCCCGGAGTCAAGGGCTGTGCTGGAGGTTATGGATTGACTTGGTGGGGGATTGTCAGAGCAGGAATTGCTCAGCACCTTCCCGTGACCTCCAGGCCCTGTGGCGTGGCTTGCTGTCTTGACCACCCTGGGCCACTCCCTGCCAGGGTGGGACTTTGTCCCCAGCGCAGCAGGGTGACTGCTGTCCTTTGGGCATGGCAGGCATGGGGAGGGGTGATGAGCAGCTCTGCAGCAGCCCCCAGCCCTCCAGCCCAGTCCCTCCCAGTCCCAGGTGGGGTGCCCTTTCCCAAAGGGGAGGAAAAGAGGATCATGCTCAGAGTTGGGGTCTGTCCTTGGTCGTGCAAGTGAGTTATCCACAATTTGGATACACTTCTTTCATCTACTGTTAGGGATGCACAGCGTTGCTAAATCTCTCTTGAAATGCAGAGCCTTCCCCTCCAAGGTGTGATTTAAGCATCTTGGGGGACTGGCAAGGGGCAATCTCATGCAACTCTTCCTCTCTTCCCTGCCAGTTTCTGGTGAAGGCAGCCGGGTATCTTCAGGTGGATTTGAAGTCAAGTAATTGCCGCACTTGCTGCTGCGAGTGTGTCCTTGCATTTGCTGCGTTATGGACATGTGTGAGGGTCCCTCAGGGTGCTACCAGAGGGCAGATCAGTAGTGTAACCTTCACCAGAGATTCATGGAAACCTGCTTATGCTCTCATTTGAAAGAATAGTCACTGGAGCTTATCTGAACATTAATGTGGAAAGATTGTCTTTTGTTTGAGCCTCTGATGTACCTGCGGGGAGCGTCACGGATTTCCCCTGAGCTCCTGGTTTCTGTTTGAGAGTAAAACAGTGCCGAGCACAGGAGCCTCTGTAGCTTTTACTGGTGCCACTTTATCAGTGTCAGCACACATAGATGGAGCAAAACACTTCAGGTCAGTTTAGTTCCTTGGGTGCCTGCATCACTAGTGGCACTTCCACAGGCCAGCAGTGCCTCGGTTACAATTTGCTTAGGTTGCAAGGTAAGGAGCCAGATAAGAGCCTCGGGCTGGGAAAGTGGTCTCCAAAGTATCAAGCTTTGCCTTCCCTTCAGAAGGAACAACAGTGCTTGGGGACTTTATTCTTGGCCATGAGGAAGGCACCAGCATGGAGACTTTGTTAATGCAGCATTCATGAGTGCCAGCATCTTTGTTGTCAAAGCATGTTTCTGTAGTGCTGAGAAAACATTTAAATGTCTGAAGTCTGAAGTGGATGTGTCTAGCATCCTCCTGCCTCGCTTTGCAACTCAGAGCAGCCTCCAGCCTTCCTTCCCACCCCCAGCCAAATACCCCAGCCCCAATTCCAGGTGCGCAAGCATTGCTGGCCAGCCTTCAGCTTTAGGGTTTTGCAGCATTAAAGGCGGGAGATGAGTGGGGATGGTCGAGGGGTGTGAGTCCCCAGGATTCAGGTGAATCCCAGGGATTTTTGGGGGATTGCACCCACAGCAGGGTGCCATGCCTCACAGCAGAGCATGGCAGACACCCAAACGGAATGTTTATATTGCTGACGGATAATCTTTTAAGCTTTCAGATGCAGGCATGTCAACCCAAGTCTTCCCGTTGCCCTGGCGACGCAGTGCATTAGCTCCCGGATGCTGTGTCTGTTCGCATCAGTCTGGAATGTGATCACCATTTGTTTGTGCTGATAAGCCCCGGAGGGGGCTGGGAGGGAGTGGGGAGAGCTGGGGAAGAGGGCTGCTCAGCTGTAGCAGGGACACCCAGGAGTAGGGGAGCCGACCTGCTCCAGGGGTGCCAAAGTCGTGGGATGTATGTGTTGGTGCAGGAAGAAACTGCTCTGTGGAGCTTCTGGTGCCTGGTTGGTACCAAGGGATGATTTTTCCCCTTTGGGCTGATGGGTGTGAGTAGCATTAAAGGAATCCAGTGCTGTTAATGAAAAATCCTCCACCAGATAGGTTAGAAGGTTGAGACAATAAAGGCTGGTGGAGGAGCGGCCCTACACTCATCAGATTGGGAAGGGGAGAGGGGTAGACCCAAAACTCCTCAGGCCTGGGGCTGGAAGGGGCAGAGCTGTGGCTGGTTGGGGGTGAGCGGGTCCAGGCAACTGGGAGGGTTGGCTGTTTGCTGGGTGTGTGCTCGGCAGGAGGGATAACGCCTGCGTGCGGCGGGGCCGGTGCTGGAGACCCAGGCGTGCACCCCCAGCTCCTGCAGCCTGGTCCCATCTGCGCCGCGGAGCTGCAGACGGGCCTGGCAAGAGCCGAAGCAGGAAAGGCGAAGCGGCGTGCAGCTCCGAGACACCCAGAGCCAGCTCCGAGACACCCAGAGCCAGCTCCGAGACACCCAGAGCCAGCTCCCCCAGCCTGCTCGTGTGGCTGCTCAGACTCCGCACGCGTCGCCATGTGCCCCTTGAGGGTTTGCTTCGTTTAAGGGTTTTACCTCTTTAATCAGATCCCCGGGTAAGGCGATTCTAATGCCAGTACCAGATGAGTCATTCAAGAGCTTGTGAGCTCAAAGCATCTCCCCTTGCTCTGGCTCTTGGGGATCCCCCCCAGCTGCTACTGGCTTCACTCAGCATTTTGCCGTGGGCTCAGGTAGTCTTTCTTGCAAGGGCAAAGCACGGACCAAAATGCCAGAGGATAGGTACCTCCTTGTACAGAGAGGAGTGTGGCATTGAATCTTTTCCATCAGTGTTTACTCTTGCTTGCTTTCCTTATACTTCTACCCTGCTTTTCCCTGTTCTAGGCATTCTCGGAGTTTCCAAGGATGCTCTAAGGCGCAGCCTGTCTTAGTACTCGTGATTCAGTGTGCACAGCCCTGCCCTGGGCTCATCTCTGATTATTAGCTTATAAAAAGGCCCCTGAACCTCTTGGCCACAGCCAGCTCTTAAAGACACGAGGAACCTGATTGCCCTGGTGACCACGGGCTCCTCTTTTGCTCTGATGCAGCAGAAGTGCCTTGGAGAAGAGGATGTCCCCGGGGACCCCTGTGGATCCCCAGCAGGAGAAATTTGGGTCGAGGTGCTTCCAGCCCCAAAGAACAGGAGCTGTGGGGCTGTGGGACCATCCCGTGCAGCATCCAGCCCTCTCAGCCTGCTCTCTCCCCTTCCCCACAGGGCTCTGCCATCCCTCGCAGCACAAGGTAAAATGAACAAGATGAAAAACTTCAAGCGGAGGTTTTCACTCTCGGTTCCTCGGACGGAGACCATCGAGGAGTCACTGACGGAGTTCACGGAGCAGTTCAACCAGCTCAACAACCGGAGGAATGAAGGTGAGGAGCCCCCGGGCCCCTACCGCGGTGCTGGGGCTGGTCAGGAGTGCCTGGGGTCAGCGCTGCCAGCAAGCATCTCCACTCCAGCCCCCCCCCCCGGCCTTTCTCTGGGTGTGTGGATGTGTGGAAAGTTCCTGTCCCTTTGTCTGTGTTGCTTTCCCCATTTATCCAGAAGGATTAATAACACCTTGTCATTAAATCTGCTCTGAAGAGAGATTTATACTTGCATAAGGAAAGCCTTACAGGAGAGAAAGGAATTTGCACAAAACGGGGAGGAATGACATATCTGTGGTTAAGGTAGAGAGTGGGAAAGCGTGGGATCTCCTTCTGCCCGCCCAAAAGTGACAGTGGTGTTTGAGCCCTCCCCAGGGCTACAGGCTGACACCTCCAGCAAGCCAAAGGGGCTGCTCTCTCTGCTCAGGGGAGCTTCTGGGGCTCGCTGAACCATCCCTTCCTGCTGGAGCCGCAGCCTTCTGCTTCGGTGCAGTTCTCAAGGTCCCAGGGAGGTTTAGGGTTAACACCTCCACGAGCAGAACGGGGCATATCCCTTCTGCAAACAGAGCAGCCGCCTCACTGCAGGCTGGGGCAGGCTCTGCTGTCTCCGCTGTGGGCAGAGAGAGGGAGAGGCAATGCTCGAGGCGTAAAGCGGGAGCAGATCGCGCCAAGGCGGCCGTGCACGGACAAGCAGGCAGAGCCTCTGTCAGGCAGGCGCTTGGAAACCTGATAAAGTTAGACTTGATTCATCCAGGGGTAAATTCGCTGCTGCGGGTGCGAGGCTGAACCGCTCCTGGCGATCACGTCACGTGTTTGCCCCTGCCTCCTACCAAAACAACTCGCTTTGCCACCGGCCAGCCCGTTCATGTGTCAGTGCCCTCAGCTCCACTCAGGTCACGTTCAAGCTCTTTTTTCCCCTCACCCTGCAGCCACAATTGCTAGAAACTTTTGCTGCAAGCAGGGGCTGAGACCGAGATGTAATTGCCTGGCACTTGCATCTGCCCCAGCAGGGAGGGAGCATCTCTCTGCCAGCTAACCTCCTTGAAAGAAGAGATGCAGTAACCCAGTTTAGAGCTGCTTTCCTCACTCCTGCAGCTCCTGATGCTCTTCTTTATCCCTGCAGACACCCAGGCTGCCCTGAACAGCATCCCTTCACTGCCTCCTTCCCTCCTCCTCCACACACACACCCCCACACCTCCCCTCACACCCCAGCAAACAGCGAGGGCTATAATTAGACTTGAGCCCTTAATTAGATGTGCAGAAGCTGTGGGGATAAAATGGTGCAAGGCTAAGAAAGTCCTCAGTGCTGACAGCTGCTCCTGCTGTTGCCTTCCTTGGGGGACCTCTGCTCTGGGATGTCTGAGCCCAGACTTGTTATCTCCACCGTGCAAACCGAGGCTTTGTTGGAGAGGCAATTCCCCCCGTTCTTCTGCTTTAATGAAGCATCAGTCACGGTTCTTCCTTTGCCCTTGAATGCAAACCAGTGCAAGCAACATCTGTCTATCCCCCTCCGGCTTTTAGTCTTGTTCCTGAGATAGCCAGGAAAAAATAAGAGCAAAGTCAGAGCGGACTGAGCCTGGGGCCAGGACTGAGGGTGTTCCCAACCCTGTGGGTAGAGGCTGGACCGGTACTAAACCATAATGTGGTATGATTAAGAGATCCTCCTGCCTAGACCCGGCAATACATCAGGGATCAGGGGCTCGGGGTCTGCCAGCACCATCCCGTGGGGTACGGCTGCTGTGGGACACCCCCGTGCCAGCCCCCCACCAGTCAGTACATCCTGGATGGGCACGTCCTGGCCCCCTGGCACAGCTTTCGCTCCCTGGTGCCCCCCTGCTCCCCGGCTCACTGTTCCCAGTTTGCACCCGAGCCCTCTCCCACGCAAGACAGGCAAAACGCGCTGTCCCTGCCGTACCCACCACCCCGAGCCTGCTCCCTCCTGCCCGAGATCTCTTGATTAAGTTTCCCTTGAGGACTGTAAACAACCCTGAGAAGTCACCTCCGCAGTGCCCTTAATCTCCATCTCCTGCAGGCTGTGGCTGTGGTATATGAAGAGCCCTGACAACCACATTTGTCTGAGGCATCTCTTCGGCCGTTTAATCAACCCCTCCCGGCTGGGAGCTCTTTGCCCACAGCCCTGTGCCAGGATTTGGCATGGGCTCAGCAGAGGTGTGGGGGGCACGAGCCCCAGCACCCCGGGGCGAGGAGGCATTCAGGCACGGCGGGGGAGTGTGATGCTTCCGATGTGTAGGGGATCAGGAGAGTTTTGGTGGTGCTGGAGGGGATGAGAAGGGGGTTTATACACAAGTTGCTCTTTTGCAGGGTTTGGTGGTGAGGTCTGGACCTCACGGGAGCTGCCTGGTCTGGAGAGGGCTCTGACTTTAGCTCTCTCTGAGGTGTTGCTCTTCTCCCTTTTACAGGTGGAGAAATCAAAGTGCAGAGAGGCAAAACAACTTTGCTACAGTTGTACAGAAAGCAGAGCTGAGACTGAAGCCACTTCAGTCACTTTTATGCTTGCTTCTCCCCCCCCCCCCCATGAAACAGCTTTGCTTCAAGTTTCACCTTCCTTGCTCTGGATCTCTGAGCATGCCCCTGGGGCTGTCTCTGCATGTCAGCCTTGCCTGCGGTGATCTTTTCTCTCTTGGTGAGCGGATGACCCGTGGCAGTGATCACTGGCTCCAGCAAAGAGTGCTAATCAGAGCAGAGATCAGCACATCATTTTTTCTTTCATCACCTCACGAAGCTCCTCAGGGAGTTGCTTGCAGTTTTTATTTTCCCTCCAGCATCAGAAATCACAGGTTATCAGCACTCACAGGTCATGGCAGTCTGCAAATCCTACACTTTGGTGGCTGTGGGTGCCTCTGCCTGTCCTTGGGGAGGGGGGTGATGCACAGGCCAGAAGACCTTTTAATTAGATGCTCAAAAATTATGTGGCAGAGCTTCTCTGACTCTGGCAACAGGACAAGGCAAGGCCTTCTCGTGGGTAGAAACCTGCCTCATCTGTTGGTGGTGTGATGGGAAATCCCCAGCTCTGTCCTCTCCATCCCGTAATTGTCATGACCTCACCCACAGAGGCTGATAAAACAAGGCCTGAGAGAAGCAGATCTGGCAAATGGAAAAACAAACAGCTTTCCAGCCTGGACACATCCCGTCACAGGCAATGTCACCTTGGCTCAGTCTGCCAAGGCAGCAGGGGGGAAAGGGGGTGCCTGTGGTCAGAGCTTAATTTACTTGCAGGCTGCCTCAGGGTGTCCAACACCTCTCCACCCTTTGTGCCTCCCTCCCCTGGGCAGCACAGCCTTTCCTCGGCCTTGGTGGCTGCTCAGCTGCAGAGGCAGAGGTGGAAGAAAGCCGCTGCAATATCTGATGTCCTTGACAAAGGCCAGCACCATCTCCACATCCTCAGAGATGGGGGACCTTCTCCATGGATGCTCCAGCATCACATTAAGGCTGTAGGCAGAGAGGCTCCTTCCTTTCCTCCTGGGATTCTTCAGTCACACATTCCTCTCCATATTCCAGGTTTTCAGAGATATTAGGTCTTGCTGTCTCCCATTTGCTTTGATAAGAGCTGGTGGCATTCAGCAGCAGCTCATATCCACGCCAAGGCTTTGCCCCAAAACAGCCACTACCCGGTCTGTCCTCCAAGGCCAAATAAGGTCTCAGTATCTGAGCTGCAAAGCCTGTGTAACTCCCAGTTTGCAGTGGCATAAATCAGAGCCAGATCTGGCCTTTGGAGTGCAAGGCCACAAAGAAGTGATGGTGAGGGGGAGGAAGGAGGATGAATAATCCAAGATCTGAGTGCAGCCCTGCCTCGTGAGTGTAACAGAGCTTTGAGAGGAGAGTTCACACTTAGCAAAGTAATTAAAAGTTATAAGTCAAGCAAGCAGTGAAGGTTTCTGGCCCCTTTCCTTGGGAGATCAAAGCTTGTTTTGGCAGAGGCAGTGTTTAAATATATTTATAAAAAAAGGCGGGAGGCTCGTCAAAGGCAGCCGTCGTGTCTGCGGTCTCACTTTAATTTGCTTTGATATCCCATGCAGCCTCATTATTTGCAGAGTGTCAGGGCTCATCGTAATCCACATGAAATGCGGAGCAGAATCAAACAGGCCCTCACGTTTGCACGCCCACGGCTTCACGTCTGCTCCCGCGAGCACCCAGCAAATTCCTCCAAGCCCGGGGGCAACCCCAGCCCTGTGAGGGCATCTCTGCGGGGCCGGGTATCTCCGGGTGCTGTGGGCACCTTGTGACAGTGCAGGATGGCCCAGGCTGGCACATCCCACCAGCCCTCCCTGGCCCCAGGGCAGCCAAAACCCTTTTCCCCTCCTCTCTGTGAGTCTTATGTGTCTTTTTACGTGCTTTTCCCATCCTGTGGTAGTTCACATCTTTTGTGTATCCTGTTCCCCTTTGCATGCGCTAGAATGCCCAGGTTGTCATTTTACCTCTGGCTTTACATCTGATGCTCTTGTAGATGAGGAGAGATTGGCACTAATCTACCCAGTGCTTTGCTGGTTCAGAGAGACAGTGCTACTGGTTTGCACCTTTCAGGGCAGGCTACAAGACTTTGGGCGTGTTTACCTATGGGAACCAGCACATACTCACCCAAACTATCATTTAAAGTGGATTAGTTGAACTCCGTTCAGTCAGATTGGAAATGGCTATTGTTTTTTTTCCAGATAATTTGCTTAGGAATTGAGCAAGTTAAAAAGATTTGATCCAGTTTAATTGGTCTATGTTAATGCCATACCTGTGGTTAATTCAGGGTAAGTTTCCTAACTGTTCCTGCACAAGCAGATGGCCAGAAAAGGACAGGGACCAGAGTCCCACAGCGGTCCTGGGAGAAGGGCTGACGCTGCACCGTGTTCTTGCCTGTCTGCCCAAAAACTCCTGGCACAGTTTCAGATGCTCCCGAGCCCAGTGACATGGGCTGAACCCATCCCTTGGGTGCAGGCTGTCCATTGAGGACACCCTGCATCCCTGAGCTGGCGGGTCCCCTGGTTCCCCAGTGACCATGGCACGAAGCCGCATCTTTTCCCAGGTCACTTGCCTGCCAGCTCTCATCCGTCAGATGAGCAAACTGCAGCCAGGTCCCAGCCCTGCTCACCACCCCGTGAAAGCCAGCCCTCCCGCTCCAGTCTTCAGCAATGAGATCATCGCTGGCTGCCTGAGCACACTGGGATGGATGTGCTGAAATCTGCGTTAGGCATAGCTGGGGATTGTCTCTGTGCAGCTCTGGGAAAGGGCTTGGCAGGGAGCAGGGCTCAGTGGCTCAGCCTGGGGCATCACAGGTCCTCCCTGGGGAGTTTCCCTCCTGCAATGTTCCTCCTTCCTCTGGGGAAGTAACTGCAGGGTGCCTGGATGCGTGGAGGACACGGGGTGCTTTACAGCAGGGCCCTTGGACCCCGGAGGCCTTTGCTAACTTGGAGCGTGGCTGCAGAGTTTAAGTGAGAAGGGCAAGAGCTGTGTGGCCACCGGCAAGGGGACAAAACGGTCGCCCCTGCTTGGCCCTGCACCTTTTCAGAGGGAGATGCATCCCTCCCTTGGGGAGGTGGCCTCTCCTCCCGCCCAGCACACCCAGTTAGCGCTGCCCCCTTCTGAACAGCATCCACGTGAACTGGGGGAAAACACCACTGGGGTCCAGGTGACCTGCGCTGAACTCATCAGTGTTTTGCCGGGCCACTGTCTGGGTCTGTGTGCGCCAGAATATTGCTACCAACCAGCTGCTAATTACAGAGTGAGGAGGCTTAAGTGCAAGCCTTGAACCGGAGACCAGAGGGAGCTCAATGGCTTATTTTGTTCTGATTTCTTGCTCCTTTCAGGGTTTCTTGGGCTCTGTGAGGCTTCACACCTGGAGTCCCAAGAGAAGAGTTATTTTTCTGAGCTGCTTTGGTTTTCAAGAGAGCTTTTGTGCTTCTCAGGGCTCTGTGTCTGTCTGAGTGCAGCAGGTTGGGGCAGGAAAGCCTGGAGTGTTTTGTTTTGCAGTAAGTGACTCTGCAGCCTTTAATCCCAAACACCTTTTGAGAAACGGTCACATCCTTGGAGGAAAGTACCCTGATGTTGGTTAGTTTATGCGGTTCCTGAGGCAGATTAGGTATTTGTGCTTGTAAACTCCCCAGGGCCAGGGCTCTCTTTCTGTTTTGTTTTCGTACAGACCTAGCACAGAGGGATCCAGAGACACGATAAGGCACCTAGATGTTCTTAAAGTGCAAATCGTGTTTTGTCTAATGTGACCTTAGTGAAGATAAGGCTGGGAAGTTAAGATGAATGCTTGCCCGTGCAAAACCCCGTGGTGCGGCAGCAGAGGGGTGAGCTGCTTGGCAATGCTGCCTGGTGGGGTGAGCACTGGACTGGGACGTGGGAGGTCTGGGTGGCCTTAAGTGTGAAGGAGCTCTACTCCCTGCATCCCCCTCCCCGTCTGTCAAGAGACCTTCATTGCAGGGGGGCTGCATGAGGGCGCCTTGGGGGTGCTGCTGAGCACATGGCTCAGCACTCACATGTGGTTGGCAATGCACCAGGAGTCTGGAGCAAAAAGCAGGTATTCCCTCTGTCTCCTGGATAGAGAGAAGGAAGAAGACTTCCCAGGGCCCCAGAGCGTCTCTGGACCTCCCTGCTCTGCTCTTATTCTCTTTTCTCCAAAACAAATGCCTCGGGTCTTGGCACTTCTGCTACCACTCCAGCAGCTCAGTCTCCTTTCTCTCTGTCCTCAGACCTGGCTCAAGGGCACCTGCAGCTGGGACACCTGGGCAGGGACTTCCGAGCAGACACCAGCCCCATCTCCCCCTCCGAGGTGGAAGGCCAGTCTCCGATGGCCGTGCGCTACCGCAACAACAACCAGCGCCGCTTCTCCATGGAGGCAAGTACTGCTGCGGGCTGGAGCGGGCAGGAGGGACGTGGCAAGTTCTGGTTGTCACCTGCCTGCTGGCTGGAAGAGCCGGTGTTTGGTTTGTGGGGACCTGGCAGCGAGCCCTGACATCCCCTTGGGTACCCTCAACATGACTCCCCTGGTACCTGACAAAGCCCAGCGGACATCCCCATGCACACACTTGCACACACCCCTTCCCTTTTCCTTTGACTAAGGGTCCCACAGGTGCTCCCCCCCATTCCTTCACCGTTGATACCAGCTCTGGTTAGAGAGCACTTCCCCTTGAATGACTCTGTACAGTCCTTTCGTCAGATGCTTTCATCACCTGCTCTTCTGACCCTCTCTGCAGGACGTCAGCAAGCGTCTCTCCCTGCCCATGGACATCCGCTTGCCCCCCGAGTTCTTGCAGAAGCTGCAGATGGAGAGCCCGGAGTTCCCCAAACCCCTCAGCAGGATGTCCCGGCGGGCTTCCCTCGTAAGTCTCACCATGCAGAGCAAGCAGGGCCGGGCACAGCATCTCACTTCATGCATACAAGTCCCAGCCAGCAGATGCATGTGCCGATTGCCAGCCACCCGTGCAGGCACGCCGGGCTGTGCAGGTTTCCTTGTACCCGCTGCGTCGTGGAGATACACACACACGCATCCCTGCCCGTGCAGATCTCTTCCTGCACACTCCCAGCAGCACACATTCCGCCCACTGTGCACATATGCATCTCTTCCTACACATGCACATCTGCATACTGCTGCGCAAAGCCCCAGATCTGCGCATTCCTTCACTTGCCTCTGCATATACCTGACTTTCCTCTTGGCCTGGCTCCTTCAGAACGGGAGGAGGTGGAAAGCCAGAGCCTCTGCTAGTTGAAATGCAAATGCCAATGAATAATGAATTAGACTTTGCATTAGTGTTGGCATTTCAGTTTCTTTACTGCAGAGCATCAGCATGTATAGGAGCAAGAACCCGGTGACCTGTTTACAAATGTGCAGGCATGTGTCCTGCTGCCCAGGAGTGCTCAGTGCTATACAGATACAACAGTGGGGTCTCAGCAGGCATCTTCACATCTTGGCATGCCTGTTCAGGGGAAGGGAGGAGGAAAGGAGAGCTTGCATTTACCTGCCTGTTCTGTCTAATCAATGAAATAGACACAGCCAGAGCAACGTACCATTAATATTCATGGTCCCCTCCATGAATAAGGCATGCTCCTGCAAACCTTGCAGTATGCCTCGGGGGGGAGTACAGCACCTCAGAGTGCAGCAGCCGCCTCATTTCCCTGCTCAGGACACATCTGTTCCCGGGGTATGCAGAGGGTTTGGGGGAGCCAAAATGGAGTAAAAAAACCCCACTATGTTCCCTTGGGATTTGCTGGTCCAAACCCAGCCTGCGTGAACCTCAGCTGGGTGGGAGCCAGAGCTGGCGGCTGGCCTGGGGCTACACCGATGGAAACATATTTTGTGGGAGAATGATACCAGTTCATTCGGTTTAAGGACCGATGATTTGCCCTGAGCCTTGGGCCCTCTTGTGCTGGGAACCATCCCCTGCGCTAGCAAACAGATAATCCAAACTAACCGAGGATGTGTCTCTGTCCCCACAGAAAATGGCAATTTCAGGGCTCTACTAGGGGCAACACCTAAATGTGTGGCCTTGCCGTGGTTGCCCTTCTTTCACTGGGTACAGGAGAGCAGGTCTCAGCAATATGTTAAAGAGTTACGGTTCCAAATGGGGAAATGTCCCTTTCACGCTTGATTTGAACAGCAGAGAAATGAAGGGTGTCACAGCAGAGACCAGGACATAGGAAAGCACTTGAGAAAAGGGCTGGGCATCGGCAGCAGGATCCCATGAGGCTTCTCCCATCGAAAGGGCATCGGCTCTTTGCAATTCACAGCTCCTGTTCAGCTTGGCTGCTGCTGCATCAGGGTGGGGGGTGACAGGAGAGGGAATTGCAGGGGTGGCAGCGGGAAGGGGCAGTCGCTGCGGCCGCCCCGGGGCACGGGGTGCAGGTGCCACCCATTTCGCTTCAGCTGCTGGTGGGTTGTGGAGGTTTTCTGATTGATTGCCTGGTCACCTGCACGGCTTCTCCAGGAAAACAATGGACGTTATGTACTCAGATCAGCTGGGCTTCTGCATGCAAGCACCTGCCTTGATTGATCTGCCCCCAAAGCTGTTACTGCCCTTGACCTTCCCCCAGGAGGTGAAGTCATCCACGGATGAGATTCCTCCCAGTGATGTTTTCCTTTCTCTCTTACAGTCAGATATTGGGTTTGGGAAGCTGGAAACCTATGTTAAACTGGACAAACTGGGAGAGGTGAGTAGACTATGAAACCCCTGTAGGGATTTAAATTAAGTTAGAAGGGCAGCTTGAAGTGCAAAGGGCAGACCGTAACCAAATTTTTTCAGTATCTAGCGATTTTTAGACCAACTCTTTGTGTGGACTTCAGGCTTGGCCCTGTAGCTTCAAATGATCCTTCCTCAAAATGTTATGGAGTGATTCGGTGTTGTGCCACCCCGGTAGATGGTCTGCATGGCTTGTTTTTTCTCTCTCCCCACCCAGGGCACTTACGCCACTGTCTTCAAGGGCCGCAGCAAGCTGACCGAAAACCTCGTTGCCCTGAAGGAAATCCGCCTGGAGCACGAGGAAGGGGCACCTTGCACGGCCATACGGGAAGGTGAGGGCAGGAGGGGCTTTTCCCCTCCCCAGCCCTCAGGAGCAATGCCGGGATTTGGGAAGGGAGGAGCAGGCGGACACGGATACCGCATGTTATAAATGAATGAAGCCAATCTTTATAAAAAGCACATCATTTTATTTGGGTTCAATCAATTTCGGGTGAGAAGCAATAGGCAAAGCAGCGCTGGGTGCGTTGTGGCAGAGCTGAGGCTCTCCGCGCACCCAGCGCTGCTTTGCCTATTGCTTCTCACCCGAAATTGATTGAACCCAAATAAAATGATGTGCTTTTTATAAAGATTGGCTTCATTCATTTGTAACACGCAGAGGGCCGTCCCGGGTCCTGCTGCCCCAACCTGCCGTCCCCTCTCTCCTCGCAGTGTCGCTGCTGAAGAACCTGAAACACGCCAACATCGTGACCCTGCACGACATCATCCACACCGAGCGCTCCCTCACCCTCGTCTTCGAGTACCTGGTGGGTCGGGGGGGCGGGGGGTGTTTTTTTCTGCAGACACGGGGCGGGAGGACGGCTGCCTTTCCGTGGGTGGGTGATGGGGGCCGAGGGAGGGGGAGGCTGACATGTGCTCCCCGTTGCAGGACAACGACCTCAAACAGTACCTGGATAACTGCGGGAACCTAATGAGCGTGCACAACGTGAAGGTAAGACGGTGCTGCCTGGGACCCCGTACCCCCACCTCTCCCCATATGCTCACCCTGAGGGCAGTCCAATGTGTTGCAGGGCTGGGTGAGGCTGGTACCCCTTCTCTCTTCAGTTCACCCTTCTCATTCTTCTTTGACCTTTTTCAGCTTGCTCTGATGCTCCACCAGCTTTTCTTGAGTCGCTGCCACCCTAAATAAAATTACTGCGCATGCAGACTTTGTTCAGCCCCTTCTCTGGATTGCTGGTGATGGGCCTGAACACTTGTCTAACAGTGCGTCTCACCCCAGGCCAGCTTCGAGGGGTCTTTCCTGGCCATGAGTTTTGAGAGCCCCTGAGACAGACTCATTTTTGGTGCCCAATGACCCGGTGCTAAATGCCAGCCCCTTCTCCTCCCCACAGATCTTCATGTTCCAGCTGCTGCGTGGTCTGGCTTACTGTCACGGGAGAAAGATCCTTCACCGAGACCTCAAACCCCAGAATTTGCTCATCAACGAGAGAGGAGAGCTCAAGCTGGCTGACTTCGGTAGGTGGACCTCTCTGGGGACGGTGCTGCGAGGAGGTGCAGCTAGCTGCAGCTCCTCGATGCCCATCCCTTTCGTCCTCAGGACTAGCCAGAGCCAAGTCAGTCCCTACGAAAACATATTCCAATGAAGTGGTCACACTGTGGTACCGGCCCCCCGACGTCCTGCTGGGATCCACCGAATATTCCACACCCATCGACATGTGGTGAGTCACAGCTCCAAACCGAGCTTCCTGGGGTCTCTGAGACGTTGGGTCGGGCATTTCCACCCATCTGCCAGGGCAGCATGTGCACCATGCCCACTGTTGGTTCCACCAGAGCATGGTGGGCTCTCCCAGACCCGTTTTCCGTGTCCCCTGCGGCTCAGGGTCTTTGGAGGACACTGTCCCCATCAGGGGTGAATGCTCACCTGTAGCAGAGAAAGGACACAGCTCCTGGGGCTCATTTCCCTCTCCAGGAACCTCAGCCCTGGCCAAGGGGTGGTGGGGTGTCCACGGGGCTTCTCCCTCACTAATCCCAGAGCCTCTGCTGCCGCTCTAGGGGTGTTGGGTGCATCCACTACGAGATGGTCACCGGCCGGCCCATGTTCCCCGGCTCCACGGTGAAAGAAGAGCTGCATTTGATCTTCAGGCTGCTGGGTGAGTCTTCTGCTGTCTCCCAAATCCCCACGCGAGGGCAGTGGCTGACTGCCGGAGCGGGGACAAAGCGCAGGAGCCTGGAGGGAGCCGGCTGGCAAAGCCTTGAAGAGGCGTGGGCAGGCGTGGGCAGCCCCCCTCCAGCCTTGCAGTCAGCAGAGGGGCGAGGAGCGACTCGCCGGCTGCCCCGTGGGATGCGCAGGCGGGTCCCAGTCTGCTGGGGAAATCCGTGCCCTCTCCCCCGGGCAGGACAGACAGACACCCGCACGCACGGGGCTCCTCTCTCTGCGCCAGATGAGCGCGACGGGCTTCTCTCTCTCCCCCTCCCAGGAACCCCAACAGAAGACACCTGGCCTGGAATAACATCCAACGAGGAGTTTAAGGCTTACAATTTCACGCAGTACCGAGCCCAGCCATTAATAAATCACGCCCCAAGGTACCTCCTTGAGCAGGGACACATAAGGCATGGTGGGCTTGTGCTGGTTGTAAAGGGGACCCTGGGAAGACCAGTTTCATTTTCTGCTCGTGGTGCTGGCAGCTTCTGAATGCAGCTGTGCACTGGAGGTCCCAGCTGCCACTTGTCCCTTGCATTGACGACTGCAATGCCTCCTGAGTGCAATAATGCTCCGGTTTTTATTTCCTCCTTCTCTCAGGCTGGACTCTGAAGGCATTGACTTGCTGATGAACCTCCTCCTGGTGAGTGAGAGAGCAGTCCAGGTAGATGGCAAAGGGATTTACTGAAGTGGAGGCACTCTGGCTGCCCTCACGCTGATTTTGGAGGCAGGCAGGAGAGGAGCTGTGCCTGCAGAATAAGCCATGGCCCCACAGCTGTGGCGCTGTAGATGCTATCCCAAACCACCTCCCATTAAGAATGCTGAACCATCCTTCACCCTGTGTCCTCTCACACGCAAGTGAGAGGACACAGACCTGATGATCCGTAAGGTACGCCGTGGCCGGTGCGCTCCTGCGGTCACACAGGGTGTGCTGTATCCTTGTGCACATGCAAATGGCTCTGGGAATTGCCTGCGGAACCCCCACGGTGCGCAGGGGGTTTGGGCACACGGTCACCCACGCAGCACAGGCAGTTGCTTGGGCACTTAGATGTGCACGCACCCTGTGTGGGGCCTCCGTGCCCACTGAACGCCGTCTCGCGCGCGCGGACTGTGTGTAACTGCCTTTCTCTGGGGCTTTGTGCAGTATGAAGCCAAGGGCCGGGTTTCGGCGGAGGCAGCCCTGCGGCACGCTTACTTCAAGAGCCTGGGAGAGCGGGTGCACCTCCTGCCCGACAGTAAGTGCCCGCTGTCCTCTTGCCTGGGGGATGTGGGGCAAAGAGCTGCTCTGCAGCCCGAGGGTGATGGTTTGCAGCCAGGTCTCTTCGGATGCCTCTTCTCTTTGCTCCCTCAGAGGTGCTCCTGGAGCAGGGTGGGGTGGGAGCTTGGTGGCTGCGAGGGCAAGAAACCGTTTGGGCAGGACAGTGTAGAGTGGGAGTGTGAGAGGAAAGCTCTGATGAGGCGCAGTGCTGTGCTTGGGCACTGCCGTGCATCCCGGCTCGGGGTTTGCAGACGGCTGCTGGCTCAGCCAGCTGAGCTGACCCCTCTCTCTCTGCCCCCTCTGCCTAGACGTCTCCATCTTCTCCCTGAAAGAGATCCAGCTTCAAAAGGACCCTGGCTACCGAGGCTCAGCATTTCAGCAGTCAGGTAGGAGTGGGGAAAATCACACTGACCTCTCCCGGATGGTGCCACGGACCGTGCTGGCACTGGGGTTCTTCCCAGTGGGTCACACATAGGAAAAAAACCAAACCTGGTTCCTGCTCCCTGCTTTAGTCCACAAGTTACCCTGGGGCATCCTCACTTGTCACCTGCCGTGGTACCAGAGTCACATCCAGATGCCCTGTGGCTGCCATGGGCTCGTTAACCTCCAAACCCAGAGCACCGCAGGGCTTGGCATCTCTGCAAAGTGCCGCTCGCCATCTGACCTCTCTGACCCATCTCTCTCTCTCTTCCTCAGCCCGAGGGAAGAACAGGAGGCAGAGTATATTTTAAACTTGGATCTCGCATTCCCCTTGTCACCATGGAGATCAAAGCACTGAGAAAGGAGACAGCAACACGCTCCCACCTGACCCACCGCAGAATTACTGACTCGAGCAGGATGATGCTGAAGCGCCCTTGGCTGCAGGCTCTCCCTTGCCCATCCCCACAACCACAGCCCCTAGCAGCTGCTGTTGATGGACCTGTGGCCTTTTTCCCCTCTTGTTTCCATGTTGCCCCCATCAGACATGAGCTCCCACCCTCTGTGCAGGTGCTCTGGTGAGGGGCTGCCCCGGGCATTGGCCGGAGCGCAGGATCGCGTGCTGACCCAGGGAACCACTTGCTGCCCTCAGGGAGTGGGGGGAGCCGGGCACGGGGAGGTTTTGTGAGCAGAGAATGGTATCTCCAAAGCTGGGCTGTGGATCGTAGCGTTCGGCCCAGGCAGGCATTTCTGAAAACGCACCTTTGCTCAGACAACCTGCTCTGCACCCCTTATTTCTTGGGGACACACTCTGCAGCCACGTTACGAGCTGGAGGCATGACCCAACCTGGCAGTGGCGAGACTGCACCTGAAGCACAAAACCCAGGGCAGCCCTCCCTTCCTTGCCCTTGCCTCTGCCTACGTAACCCCTTTTTCTCTCCCCATCTTTGGTACCTGAGTCCTGACAAGGATGGAGCAGCTGGGTGGAGGGGGGGGGCTTCCCATTGCTTCCCCCAGCATCTCCCCCCTCCTTGCCACCACTGTGTTTCCAAATTCAGCCAGCTGACTGCTCCCCAGGGGCTGAGCAAGGGCTGGCTTAGCCCACCTGGGGTGCGGGTACCTGCTGCTAGGGCTGCGTGGAAGCAGGGACAGACGAGCATCAGCTCCGTGCTGCCTCCCCTTGCTGCGCCGAGCCCTTGGGCCAGCCTTTCCCGGGCACTGATGGGGCAGCCCCTTTGTCATCACGCCCCCCCCCGCCCCCCCCAAGCCTGTGACCCTCTCTGCCATCGTCACACGGGGCAGGACGCCGTTCCCAGCCGCTGTCTCAGGAGCTCATCTCCCCCCGTCCTGTCGCTGAGCCCCACGCGACGTGGCGGAGCCCGAGCCGCTCAGCCTCTCCGTACCAAAGTGTTGCGCACACCCACCTCAGTGCATTTCTACCCGGAGGAAGGGGGAGAGGTGCCAAACCTCCCACAGCTCAGCTGTGGGGACCAGAAATAGACCCAGAGAGAAGCAAATCATCCCTCAAACCTCGTCGCCCGGCCTCTACATTTGTAGCCAGCGCCAGATCGTACCAGCCCTGACTCAGATCGATGCCGTGGGACTGAGGAGCGTGCTTAGATCTGAGCGTGCTTTGCTGGCCGAGGGCTGCTCCTGGTGCATTTTCCCCTCCGTTCACTTCAAGAACGTGCCAAATCCATCCTGAGCGAAGAGGCCCTGCTGCACTTCTCCCCCACAGCCTGCAAACAGCCTGAAATGTCTTCAAGTGTGTGAGCGTTGCAAGAAGTCTCTCTACTGTATAATATTCACGAATTTTTCTTGGCTGTCCTGGGTGACTAGTCCTCTCGCCCACCAGTCCTCCAGCCCATGGATGTGGCCAGGAGACTCTGGATTTGGCAGGTGTTGGGACTGTCACCTGGGACTGGGACTGGCAGGACATGCTGCTGTCTTAACCCTTCATGCTCCCAGCCTGGGAGGCATTGCTCAGGGGATGGTAACTTTCCATGCCACTGTTTCCCCATCGAGCAGGGAGTGATCTCTGTTTTCTGCTTTGCTGTGCAGCATTTCTTCTGTGATCCTCAGAAAACGCAAAGCGTGAGGATAAAAAAGGAGACCCTGGAGCTCCCCAAAGCTTCTGGGGTGACTCCTCCCTGTGCCAGTGCTCGATGCGATGCGCTCTCTGAGCTTCCCCCATCAGACCAAAGCTGTTAATTCGGGTTTGTCCTAGACAAGCATCCAGACGTCTGCATTGTTTGAGGTTTGCCCATCCCTGCTCAGTTCCCTTCTCAGTATGTCCAGCGTACAGCAGGCTGAATAGTTCATTAATTGTTTCCATTTGATAGGGAAGAGCTTGAATCGCCATCAGCCACCAGTGACGCATTTCACCCTGGTGTCAGAGCAGTGTTTCGCATGGTGCCCTACCCCCGGCTCCTGCTGCCGTGGGGCTTTTTGGTAGGGAGGTTCACAAAGGGAGGTGTTGGCTGGAGTTAGTCTGAACTCTCACACTGTCATCTATTCTTTCACAAAGGCATTTTATGCAGGAATTTCCTTGGCATGGCAGGGATCTGTGGTGCAGACTCGCTTTTCCCAAGGCAGCCAGCTGCCGTCAGGAATTAGCAGCTCAGCAGGCAGGCAGGCCAGCTCACGGGCGCAGTGTCTCCCGTGCCCCTGCGGCACCACCCTCAGGTACATGGGGCGAAGAGTTCTGATGTGTCTGGGGGGCCGGAGCCCCCGCTGGGGTCTGTGAGCACAGGCCGGACAAGGGGGAGCAGGAACCCCTTCCACCCGCTCCTGGGAAGCCCGTTCAGGACATGTTTGACCCGTCTTCGTGCTGTTTTCTTGCTCGGGGCTACCATCCCCGTGCTCTGAGATTGCCGTGGGCATGAAGCTTGCTGGGGCAGAGGGTGCCCAGCCGAGCCGTCCCACTTCCACACTGGGAGGACAGAGGCAGACCACACCAGACCAGATTGGTGTGGTCTCAGCTCTCCGCCCCCGTAAGAGTATTCCTGCTGAAGGGCAAGGTCACCTATGGAAACTGCTGGGGAGAAACGTTGGGGAAAAGACCTAGCAATGACCGTGTAGACAGGACTGTTTTACCCAGGATCAGATAGCAAAGACAAAGGACCTGTTAGCTGCTGTTTATTCTTTCGTAGCCTTTGCCTTTCCTCCTACAAATCCTCCCTATAGGAGACACTATTATTTATTAGCCCTGTGCGCTACTAACAGCCTGAATTGAAGATAACCCCTTTTGTTCCACTGCGTTTAGTGGATATTTGATCTCTATTCAGGAGGGCGATAGTGTGTGTAAATATGTGGTACCCCGCTGAACAAGGTTTGATTTACAAGCTCCCGTCACTCCTGTGCTTGCACGTGTCAGCTGGCAGAGCCCCGAGTGTCTGATCTCCCACGGCACGCTGCCCGCCGAAGCCTTCCCGGCTGCGAAGAAAAGGAGCTGCAGGTTGGCAGCGATTAGAGCCCGGAGCCAAATCCCCCCTTCTCCATCTCCTGGAGAGCGTTACGGTCCCCCTGAGGACCGCGGGGTCCGGCTGGCTTTGTGAGGACCAACATCCCTTGGATTCCCCAGTTTATAAAAGCCCCGAGCAGAGGGGGACCCTGCTCCTCGCACAGGCAGAAATTCTGCAGCGGGGCTCCCGCTGCCGATGGCATCGCTCCCTGCCTGCTCCCACAGCACATCCCCGGACAGGCTTTCCCCAGTTTTTGGAGCCTGGCTCCCCGGTTGGATTTTTAAAGTAGCTTAATGAAAATGCTGGGAATGTCTGTGGCTCTCCAGCATTTTTTTTCATTTCATGGGTGCTCCCAGCCACCACTTTGCAGAGTAGCTGGCTTGCCTTGCAGATGGGGAGCTTTGGCAAAAGGAAACTGTTGCTTTGTCTTCCAGACATTTTCTTGCCTTTTTTTTTTTTTTTTTTTTTTTTTTTACCAGTTCTGGTCAAAAATGGAGTTTTGGCTGTACCCTCAGGAAAGGCTGTATCCTTTCATCTCTCCGGCTGATAACTAGTTAAAGAAATGTAAGTAAATAATATGTAAAGCAATGTCTGTGTTCTGGGACAATAAAATTTACAGGCAGAGCTATTTCATTTCGCTCTCTCCATACACACACGCCTTTCCTGGCCCAACCCATTGCCAGATCTATGTTAAGATTTTAAATAACAAAACTACATTGTATCTTGGAGACCAAGGACAAAATAAGTGGATTTTTTTCCTCTCCCTTACACATAATGAAAAAAAAAAAAAGAGTAATTAGGAGACCATTTTCCCAAGCTTCTCAAATGTTTTGGGTTTTTAGGTTTTCTGTTTTGTTTTGTTTTTTTCCATGACTTCTCTTCAGTCAGAAACAAGGCTAGCATAAAACAGGAGCCCAAGCTCCCCAAGCAGGCTGGGAACAGGCAGGTGGGAAAACATTTGAGGAAGGATCTAACCCGCCGGACTGAGTAACAGAAAAGGTTTTGTGTGTGTGTCCCGGAGCACGGGGAGGGGTCCGGCACTGGGGGTGGGAGCCAGCCCAGCCGTACGTGGCCAAACTCTGCTTCTCAAGGCCGGGTTTGCTCCGAGCGCGGGGCCAGCGATGGCCGAGCGGGTCCCGCAAGGGCCGAGGGGTCTTGACCCCGAAATGCCAGAGGTTAAAAGGTGATCTCACCCCCCCAAAAGCTGCGGCTCTGCCTGGCCGCCCCACTGCCCCGTCCCGGTACACTCGAGTCCTGCAAGAAACACATTTGAGTGTCCCCTTAGTGCTCCCCACTAGCGATGTCTGGGCACCAACACTATGAAACCCCCTTTCTGGTTCCCTCATTGCCTTCTTCCACCCTCAGCATCAAGCTTGTCCTACAGCAGGAAAAATAGATCCAAGCGGCCAGGATACCCATACTGTGAATGTTCTCTGGTGTCTTTCATTTGCAGAATACCAATAATATATTTAACTAGCATTGTACAAACGAAAGATGCATTTTAAAAGAAATGATTTTAAAGATTTATTCCAAAAGAAGCAATGATTTTTTTATAGAAAGTTTTTCTGGAATAAATGGAAAGGTACAAAAGAAAAAAAATAAATAAAGGATTGTATCCATCTATCAATCTTGTGTCTGAATGTTTTATAAGAATATTTCAATTTTTGTATTTCAGATGTGACATGGACTAGTTTGTGGATGTGCTCATTTTATTGCTAAGGCTTCTACTACAGTCGTATTGTGAACGCTCCAAAGCCAAGATTGTACAATAAACCTTACTGAATACAGGATAGTTTTGTACAGGACATAATTTTTCTCTTTTTTTGGTAGGAGAAGGATCCCCCTTGGGTTTTGAATTTCAGCTAGGTAGCACTGATGTCTTGGGCACGCAGGTCCCTTGGCAGGCCCCGAGCGGTGAGTTGCTCCGTGGTGGGTGTGCAGGGGCGGCAGGCTGCCGTGCTGCGCTGTGCCATGCCGTGCTGTGCCATGCCGTGCCATGCCGTGCCATGCCGTGCCGTGCCATGCCATGCCGTGCCATGCCGTGCCATGCTGTGCCGTGCTGTGCCATGCCGTGCTGTGCCATGCCATGCCGTGCCATGCCATGCCATGCCGTGCCATGCCGTGCCATGCTGTGCCGTGCTGTGCCATGCCGTGCCGTGCCATGCCATGCCGTGCCATGCCGTGCCATGCCGTGCCATGCTGTGCCGTGCTGTGCCGTGCCATGCCGTGCCATGCCATGCCATGCCATGCCGTGCCATGCCATGCCATGCCATGCCATGCTGTGCCATGCTGTTTTTGTGCCTTCCCGCAGAGTTATGCCCCACAGCTGCTTTCCGTGCAGCTCCAGGACACCTTTCATTTTCACTCCTGCTAGCAGGGCATTTTTTGGCTGGCTGTAATAACCTCCCAGACACAGACTTGGTACAGAAGGAGTTTCCCACTACCTGACCTTCGCAGGGGGTTGGAACATGAGACCTCAGAAACTTGTGCGCAATAGGAAAAAGTTTCTATGGTCTCTTGCATGGATCCTAAAGCCCTAAACAAATATTGCCATAAGCCTATCAGGCAAATAAAACAGAGCTGACATGCCCAGCCCATGGTTGCAAAGCAGCTGAAGGGCAGAGCTGGGGAAGGGACAGGGGAGCCCTTTTCCCACAGCTCTAGAAACTGAAAATCTCCCGGAGGTCAGGGCTGTTCAGCACGGCAACCCCCTCCCCACATTCCTGCTCTCTGGCCCAGCGATGCTGAAGGGGTTCTGGGGACCTGGGAAGAGCCAGAGATGGGCTGCGGGGGGGACCTGCGGGGTCTCTGGGGACAGACCAGTGAGCGGCTGGTTTGGGGAAGGGGGCAATGCCCTTCATCCCCCTCCCCGGGCTGCACCCCGCCTGCCTGAGTCACGTCCAGGCACTGGCGTGGGCAGATCCCCAGTAACAAGCCGTTCACCAAACCAGTTCCTCCATCTGCCGCTCTCATTCCTCCAGTCTGGTGGCGGTGGCAGCTGCCAGCACCGGGTCCGGGAGAACATCACCGAGCGGTCCCGACCCCACCGGCGTCTGGATGCTCCCGGCCACCCAAACAGCCATGACCTCCCCTCTCCGGGTCCCTTAGCGGGGTCCTCCAGCCTCACAAGGATCCTCCAGCCAGGTCACCCATCGCTCCCCAGGTCTCTCAGTGTATCTGCAAAGCGGGGCCGATCCCTGCTGCCCTCAACGAGATTATTTGTGTGTCATTAAATTACAGGTGCGTTTCGGGAGGCTCAGCCCAGTGGTTTCACTGCAGCCCGCCCTTCTCCGCCGCAGTTTTTGTGCAGTAAAGGAGGAAGCACATTGATTCCAGCTAAATGGCAGTGGGTGTGTGAATTATTTCAGTTGGATGGTAGGAAAACGTGTAGGTGAGTGCTTCCTCCTTTTAGACAAGTGTTACAGGATCTGTAATAACTGGGCCAAGATCTCAGGCTAATGTTTGACCTAGAAGTGGAGCCAAGCTTTCTGGTGTGTTTTGAAACTCTTGACCCCAAAACACATAAGGTGAACAGCTCTCTCGTGCGCTGCAGTTCCAGCTGCCCGGCCCATTCGTGCTGGGTTGCTGGGCATCTTACACACAGCCTAGAACAATTCAACCCATCATATGGTGAGTTTACCCTGTGTTGTAAGAATCATTGTGTCTTTTGTCAGTAAGGTTCAGTGATCCAGGGTGGTTATTTTCTTATCTGCTCAAGCTTGCTTGGTGGTGGGTTTTGGGGGCTGAGTTACAGCTGTTGAAAGGCATCGGCGCTCCCATCTCCAAACGTGCGTGCAGCTCTTCGGCCGGTCACACCGGCACGTGTGGTCGCTGGGACACGCGTGTGTTGGTGCTTTGGCGGGCATCAGCCCAGATTTGCCCTTTTTGGTCTCTTGATAAAAGGGAGACAGTGGGAAAAAACCTTCAACAGTATCTCAGCCCCAGGCCCTTGGCCACAGCTGCCGACCCAGACATTCGCAAAAGCCTTGAAGGAGCCTGTCCCCGGGTACCTGCTGCCCCAAGCCAACCTGTGGGGCCTCAGCTGGTTCCACCCCAAGGAAACCTTTAGAAAACCTGTTACTAGAATTGAATTTCCCTCCATGTTGAGACTGGGCTAAGAGAAGCGATGCTGGCATCACAACAGCAAATCTGAACAAAATTTGGCTTCTAGGTTGAAGTCCTATAGAGCAGTCACTGCAAAGCATAACCAGTGAGATTAAAAGAAGTAGTTGCTCCACTGGCTGAAAACATTAGCTGATACAGTGTGAAAAAACCCTGCTGTGCCTCTTGCAGCTCCAGGAACGTGCAAGGGCACGGGAAGCAAAAGAAAACTGTTTCTCAAATGCTGGTGAGATCTTTTTGAGCAACACGCACCAACTGACGCTGCTGTCTCTAATCATGCTGCTCTGCTATTCCTTCATTCATGATTTCACTTTCAGTTTGCAGCAAGCGCAAAAATGTGGGTGTTTAATTCATTGCAAGTACAACATCGATTTCAGTTTGGAAAACAGCCTAAAGTGCCTCCTCGTGAAGCTAATTCTGGTATTGCATATACTCATAGTCCTGTGGCTTGCATTTTTATGAGCTACCTCTGAGGATCTGGGTTTCAGTATGCAGAGCCAGAAAGGATCTGTGTGTTCTTATGCTGACTAACCCACCTACACTTTGTTTCTTATTTGCAAGCATATCTTGCATGATCTGCGTTATGTTATCCCTGATAAAATAGCCTGATATTCCTGGAAGCAAATGTGCTGGCCTTTAGGCCACTGCTTAGCAAAGTGGGGTCAGCTGTTGTAGGTGGGGGTCAGGGTCGTGCTAACGTTTAACCTCTCATGCCTGGATGCTGTCTTTTCGTCTGAGAGTGGATGCAGCAAACCTGCAAAGGCAGGGAAAGCATTGCTCAGCCATTTTGTAGCTGGGGAGGGTCAAGGCCCAGAGAGCTGATGCTGTCGAGTGATGGTGATGCAGTAATGAAAGCCAAGAGTAGAGTGAAGGTCTCCTGACTCCCTGTCCCGTAAAGGGAGAACCAAGCTCAAGACAGATCAAGAATGTGGTCCAGGGAAACCACAGGTAAAGCCTTGTCAGCCCTTTCCTTGGGGCATGACACCTGGTGTGTGGAAGATAAGGATCTGCTGTTTCATCAAGTAACTCCAGCTCCACACACAAGGAGACATATGGTCAAAGTGGGGCAGGAGATGACCTTCCCAGCACCATTTTGATGGAAAGGCCTTTACTGTCACCATCCTTCTTCCCTCATGCTGTTTTATCCCCGCTTATGGATGGGAAAAGAGAAGCTGAGATGGTCTGTACTGGCTTCTCAAAGCTGGTTACTGCCTGGCAGGGAGAGCCTGAGGCTTTTGTTCACAGGCTTCTGCATCAGCCTCCTCCATCCTGCCATTCAGGCTATTAAGGAAGGTGGTTTACCACGTAATGATAAACCCCAATTTCCGGCCATGCTGTTGACTCACTCTATGTCTGTAAGCAAATCCCTTCATTCCTTTCTGGCCCTCAGTTTCCCCGTCAGTAAAACAGAATAACAACAGTGCTCTGCCCCTCCAGGCAGCTGAGCTGTTTCTTTGATTGCTTAATGGTTTCAGGTGTGGGTGCCCAACAGCCACAGGAGTTTTCCCTCAAGGGCAATCAGGGCTTTATTGCCCACCTGCTCTAGGCTATTGCCCACAGTCACTTTGTTCACTTTGGTGGTGGAAGAGGACATGATCCTGTTCTCCTTACTTTGGGAAGACTCCAGCGGGTGCCACAGGGAGGGAAGAACAAGACCTGGGACGCAATTTGGATTAGCTAAACATTAAGCTATGTCCAGGTGGAAATGAGCACCTGTGGCCCCGGAGCAGCATTCCTGCAGCACGGGTCACGGGGCAGGTGAGTACGTGTGCGGGTCCGCTGGCACGGGAAGGGACCTGGCGTGAGAGCTGGAGCCAGCCCTCTGCCATGGCTGAGCTCCATCGATTCTGCTTTGCCTGGAAAGAGTGTTCTAAAAATTGCTAGTCTTTCCTAGCTAAAGTAGGTGAAATATTTATAAATCCATCCTCTAGAGGAGACCTTTTGCGTAAGCGTCAACCACTCCGACTTTAAAACATGTACACCCCCCCACCTAAGCCATCTTGTGCTTCTCATCCAGAGAAGGGGCAACTTTAATTGCATTTGTCTGGAACCGTTGCACTTATTTACTGGTATAGAGACGGCCAGCAGCAGAGAAAAGGGATTTCTGGGCCGCCTTGGCTGTGCTCTCTATTGCATCAGGTTTGCTGCCGTGGACGTAGCTCAGTGTCATCCGTGCCGTGGGGCGCGGCCCACGCCGCGGGGGGGCTGCCCCGCTTTTGGCAAGATGCTGCAAACCCCGTGGGGATGGTGGGGGTGGGGGTGGTGGTGTTGAAAGGAGCCCGGGGATGCACTGATGGGTGCGGGGGCGGGGGGGTCAAAAGGAGCCCCGGGGATGCACTGGTGGATGCGGGGGTGGGGGGGTCAAAAGGAGCCCCAGGGATGCACTGGTGGATGCGGGGGCGGGGGGGTCAAAAGGAGCCCCAGGGATGCACTGGTGGATGTGGGGGTGGGGGGTCAAAAGGAGCCTGAGGATGCACTGGTGGATGCGGGGGTGGGGGGTCAAAAGGAGCCCCAGGGATGCACTGGTGGATGCGGGGGTGGGGGGTCAAAAGGAGCCCGGGGATGCACTGGTGGATGCGGGGGCGGGGGGGTCAAAAGGAGCCCCGGGGATGCACTGGTGGATGCGGGGGCGGGGGGGGTCAAAAGGAGCCCCAGGGATGCACTGGTGGATGCAGGGGTGGGGGGTCAAAAGGAGCCCGGGGATGCACTGGTGGATGCGGGGGTGGGGGGGGGGCTCCGCCCCGGCCCCGGGAGGAGGCGGCGGCCCCCGGTCCCGGAGGCGGAGCCAGAGCCCGGCGCGGTGCCGCGGGCTCGGGAGCCACATCCTGCACCGGGGGAACGGGGCACCGGGACCGGTGGGAACCGCATCGCCGCGGCCGCCCCGCGCCGCCGCCCACGATGTGGTGGGACGAGCGGGTGTCGGCGCGGTTCCGGAGGAACCTGCAGCCCACCCTCACCTACTGGAGCGTCTTCTTCAGCTTCGGCCTCTGCATCGCTTTCCTGGGGCCCACGCTGCTGGATCTGCGCTGCCAGACCCAGAGCTCCCTCTCCCAGATCACCTGGGTCTTCTTCTCCCAGCAGTTCTGCCTCCTGCTCGGCAGCTGCCTCGGAGGGGTCTTCAAGAGGACGTAAGGCGCCTGACAAACTCATCGCACCTCCCGCGGGTGGGCTTAGCTCTCCGCAACCCCCCCCCCACCCCCCCCCCCCAACTCCCTCCGGGTTTGTATGGCTGAGCTGGGATGCTGCGGTTTGCGTGGGGAAAAACCCTGCCTGAGTGGAAAGGCTCCCTGCGTGTCCCGGGTGGGGGGGGGGGGGGGGGGGGGCCACAGCCCACTCACCCGCGTGGCTGGGAGGGAGGGGGGGCTTCCCCGGAGATGCGGGGCGGGAGTTCTCCGCTGCTGCCCGGGTTTGTACCCTCGGAGAGAGGCTGCTGGTTCCCCTGGAGCTCAGGACCTTAGTGTGAAGTTACAGCCAGAACTTCCCGGAGGGTATTTTCCTTAACCTCATAGTTTATCACAAAAATATTATTGGAAGCCTGTTTTAATAAACCCGGTGTCGGAAACTGAGGCATTGTCCGTGCTCCCCAGGAATTTGGGCAAACACGAGCGGTCCTCGTGGTCTTGCTGCTGCGGGGGACGAGGGCAGAGGCAGTGCCTGAGCCGAGCGGGGTGGCCGGGGACAGCAGCGTACTTCGTGGGCCAGCGAGAAACCTGGGCACGGCCAAACCGGGCTTTGCACAGAGCCTTCTGTCCAGGATGTGTTTAAAATAAATAATACACGATGGCTCAACCCGAAAGATCGCCAAACAGGCGTTTGATTTGAGGCTTAATGACAGTTGTGCTCTGCTGGGGATCAGCTGATATTTACATTGTCACTAATTCTTCAGGCAGTGATGTAACGTGCCAGCTCCATGTGTGTCTCTGATATCCATGTCATGTATATGTTTATGTGTATGAGACAATTTTGCATGAATCCTTCGCTGCTTTAAAATGCCTATTTAAAAATGTTTTGTTAAAGTCTCTTGCCAGTTGTGGAGAATGGTGGCTAATGAAGATGGCATTAGAGCACCTGTTAAATTGCCATCCCGGGCCACTGAACTGTCCTGGTCCCCTGGCCCGGACAGAGCCCAAAGGCTTTGTGGAGCCGCAGGGGCTGCTCTCTTGTTGGGCTGTGCAGGGGGGAGGAGATGCGAGGTGGGGTGCACGGGAACGGGGATGGCACGTGGGAGCCTTGCCCGGGGTCTGACACGGATCGAGGCTGCTGGATCAGCAGGCAGTGCCATTGCCAGCCCCCGGTCTGCTTCACATACGTTTGAAGGAGCAGTGAAGGAAAATGCAGACTTGTTTCCTGCCCTCAGCTTCCCACCCAAAGCCCCTGCCCTTGGCCGGCAGGTTACGCATCCCCGTCTTGGGGTTTGTGCTCAGAGACTCCCAAACTTCTAACGCGGCAGCAGCACGCTGGGGAAAAGCAGCATTTTTGTTGCTCGCTGTGGTTACGAACCAGGATGTGGTTGTGATCGCAGCCTTTTGGAGCAACAGGCTTTTGCAAAGTGTCTGTGAGCCCCACGGAGGAGCCGCAGCCCTGCCAGGCAGGAGGGCATGTTTCGGATAGTTGTAGCTTGCGAGCGTTGTGGGGGGGTTACTCGGAGCTGTGCAGCGTACAAACGTGTGGGTTTGGATGAAAATATTAACTCTGAGAGCTCCTGTGCTATCCCCTCTTCAGGGATGGACAGATTGACCTGTCCTGCTAAGGATTTCTACTTCTGGGCCATGCTGTGGGTTTACAAATCAAATTATGCCGTCCCTGGTGCCGGGCAGGGAGGAGCACTGGACAGGTCATCTTTTCCAGTTAGGAGATGGATAGCTGCTGGTAGAGGATCCCAAAGCGTCGCCTGCCTGCAAGGCAGCAGAGCCAAGGTCTGGCTGCAAGCTGCGTTTAATTTCTAATGCCTGAGGAACATAGACTTTGTTGCTTGCTTTCGTTTAAAATATGTATTGGTCTGAGCTGTCTGCTCTGAATGTTGGACTCGTGAGGGGAAAGGAGTGTTGTTACTGAGCTCTGCAGCAGAACTGGGTGGTGGGACCTAAATAAGGGTTTGGTTCCTCTCACCAAGAAGTTGCTGAGTGCTGGGTCACGGTCTCTGCTCTCGCAGCCCAGCTGGAGCACTGGGAAGACAGAGCATAATGATGGCATCCGTCCCTCCTGTAACTCAGTGTTCTGGACTGCCAGAACTACCTCCAGAATTCCCTCTCGTGTGAGATTTCAAGGAAGAGCCCCGGGTTTGCTGCGCGGTCCCGTCCCTGGCTCACAGGGAGGTGCGAAGCTGGAGCTGTGGGAAGAGCAGCTCCTCACGTAGCTGCCAGGCGCGTTGTTTAAGCTCTCGCTCAGGTTCGCGACAGGCCGCTGCTCTCTGGTAACTCACGCTTGGGGTTTGCTGGGTCATAATTACAAGCTCTGCTTTAGAAGAATACAGCTTTTTACAGGGTATTTGCATGAGTGGGGTTGGGGTTTGGGGTGGAGTGCGTGTCCTGGCTCAAACCCTCGTGGTGTTGGTAGAGGTTCCTCGAGCAAAGAGAGCCCCGGCAGCAGCTGATGCCCTCCGTAAGGAGCCCTGCGCACCTCTACGTGAAGCATGCTGAAGCTTTTTGTTTCCTGGTCCTACCTGGACTAGATTCTCAGAAGTGCCTGACATGTCGTGAGACTGCAAATCCAGCCAGCAATGTTGGGGTGGGAGTGCTGAGAGGACTTGAAACCCTGCCTAGACCCAGAAACCCAAGCGGGAGCTGAGCTTTTTGGTAAATCCACCCCCTAAGCGCCTGGCACTGCAGACTCCTGGGGTGAGCTCTGGGCACCTCTACCCCCCACTGCTCTCCCTCTTGCTTCCCTTGCCTACCCCTTTTCCTTCCCCATTTGGCTGGATTTTAAGCTTGCATTGTGAAGTTAAAGTCACGCTCTCCCCGTGCTGCTGTGCTACACGCGTTTGTGACGGAAGCACCAGAGTAACTGAGCACCCATGTCTCGCTGTGCTGCTTTTTTAAATTCAGAAACTGCATTTTTGTGTCCTCTATTTTTTTGCTTTTGCTCCCAGCGTTCGGGTCAGCCCTGAGCTAGTCCTGCTGTTATTAGCTGAGGAGAGGAGGGGGCTGGTGGGTCTGTTGCTGTGTTGGAGCCCTGAGCAGGCTCCGCACCAGGACCTGGAGGGCTGATAAGGTGGTGGGACCCTTTTACCCTTCTTTCTTTACCCCTGGGTATCTTTGCACATCAGCTGAGAGCGGATGACCCTGTTCTCTCCCTGCCCTGCTGACTCCCATCTTCTGAAGGTTTCTGTTTAGGCATGTGGCTGGTGCACGCAGGACAATTCTCACCACAAAGGAAAGTAAAGCCATTTGTTGAGAGCAGGGAGCACGGGAACTTGAGGATGAGCTCCTCAGGGGAGGCAACATTTCCCAAGCCTGGCCAGTGCTTTCGTGCTGGAGACGAGGGTACCTGAAGGCAGATGTGGGATAATCCATCCTGCCTTCTTTCTCCACTTTCTCACCTCGTCCCCTTAGGGCTTTAGGGTTTTAATTATCAGTTTTGCAAGTCTGAATTAGCCTGATTATCATTTTTCTTCTTGATGTGAGGGACTTAGAAAATGCTCTCTGGGATGGGAAAGAATATACTTGAAGTTGAAGGGTGCCTGCTGCGACAGGAACGCTGAGGTGGGGGGTTTATATACGCTGTGAGGGAAGGAAGGGGGAAGCTTTGCTGGCTGTGACTACAGGACAGCATTAACCTTCCTACTCCCTATAGAGATCAGCTTAAACCTTTTGGGGGGAGCTACAGGTCTTCCCCGAGGCTTTGTGGTGGAGCCAGGACGTGCTCTGGGTGGTCCTAAAACAGAATCCATGATGCTACAAGACTCGTTTCGTACGCTGCTGAAGCGGAGCCCACCCTGGGCACAGCCGCAGCTGGTGCAGAGCTGTGCTGTGCATCCTCTCAGCCAGGGAACGTGGGGACCGCGTAGTGATGGGGAGGGCAACGGGGACACAAACAAAACCATGGCATAACATCAGGGTTGCTTTTTAAGCCATTTGGAGGGAAGCATCAGTTTTGCATCATCAAGACACCCCCTCTGAAATTCATGAGGGTACCTCATTGCGGATACTTTCAGGTTTGTTTCTAAAGAAATCCTTCAGCTGGTGGTGTGGTGCCTCCCTGGGTGCTGAGCAGTGTCCTTCAACTACATCCTGGGGATCTGGCATGGGAAGCCAGAGATTTCTTGGTCCCCCTTCATGACAGAGCCAGGGACGGGGACAGCAGGGCTGCGTGCCAGGCTGGGCAGGGGGCTGCTGGTGTTTGCAGAGGCAGGAATTTTTGCTCTTTGGGGAAAAGTGAGGTGATCTTTTTAATGCGTTTTAAGGACATAACATCATCTGCAATTAATGTTTAACTCCAGTAATGAACGTGCTCCCTGGCCAAGCACAAGCGGTGCTGTGGTGGTTTTGCTAGGGCTGCAGAAGAGAAGAGGCATTTCTGGGATGTCTCCGTGTACCTTTCCCTGTTTCCCTGTCACTCCCAGCCTCAGATTTGCCAGCTGCTAGTGCCTCTGCCTCTCTCCCTTCTGCTGGGCTCCTGCTGTACCCTGGAGAGTGCTGCCTTGTCTCTCCAAGCCTGAAGCTGCTTCTCTCTATTTGCTAGTTGTTTTTCTTGCTGTGACTGTGCACATCTCGCTTTTCTCCTTCCCTCCCCCAGAAATCCCACACTGGTTCCCCGTTTTGCTGTCAGAGGAAGATCAGTAGTTATGGCTTTGCAAAACATTGCCTCCTCCAACGTGGTCTGGCTGATGGGTGAGCAAGGCTGGGCTGGGAGACGTGAGCACACCAAGATTCTGGTACAACCGGGTTTGTGCCACCGGGCAGGAGACTAAAGGAGACGGTGCCCTTAGCCTGTTCTATTCCCCGGTGCTGTTGAAGTGCAGTGTAAGCAACAAGCAGGATGGGGAGGGCCAAATCACTCTGGGTTTGCAGCTGAATGAGGGTCATGCAGTGACATGCCCAAGGCCAGGCCGTTCTGGACGAGCAGTCAGGGCAGCGGGGCTGGTAACGTGGTGCCCGGCAGCCGCGGAGCCTCTGTGCCGCCTCGTAGCCTTCTCCTCCCTCTTTGGGCCAAGCACGGGGCAGAGAGATGCAGGTGTTTGGCTTGCTGGGGACACACCTGTGCATTGCCAGCCCTTTGCTGTGGGCAGACAGCTGTGCCTGCATCCCTCAGCAGCAGACCCCAATTGCTAATTAACATCTCATTACAGCAGTCTCCCGGCTAGAAGCCACGGGCTTCTACCAGGCTTTGGGAGGGGACATGCCTGTGCTACTCACTCTCCGCTGTGACTTTATAGTCCCATCTTTCTGCTAGTTTCAGTGTTTTGCTGTCTGGTCCCTGTTTCCTTCCTTCCTTCCTGCCTTTCGACTTGGCAGCTCCGGAGCAGCGCGGTGCCAGCCTGGGCTCGCTAGCGCCCGGCTCGCGCCGCGAGCAGCCTGCCTGCGCTGCTGCCAGACTCGAGACGTAATGCGCCAGCTTTACCTCTGCCACACGCGTCCCCTTGGGCTTCTCCGACGGACGGCGTGGCTTGGAAAGTGGCCGCCTGCACCGGGAACGGCAGCAGTGCTGCATCCCCGCCCCGCCGTGCCGGGGGAAGGGACGATGCTGAGGGAACAGAGACGGCGCGGAGAGGGAACCGCAGCGGCTCCCTGGGGAGGCAGGACGGGACGTGCAGGCAGATCCGGGATGACACGGTGACGTGGGTGCCAGCAGCTCTCTCCCTGCTGGGAACTGGGGTTGCCCAGCAGCTCTCATGCCTGCTCAGCCTGCAATGCAGCCCTGCATGAGAAATGCCCTGGAGTTGCTCAAAGGTCATGATGTGGCCTCGCCTGCTCGTACCCGTGTCCCTTTCCATTCCCAGACAACCAGGGAAGGTTCTCAGGCTTTACTCTGCCTTGAAATGAGCACAACGCAGGTTTGAAGGGGTGCTTACCCTTCTCCACAAAAGCTGGGTGGAAGATCTGCCTCTTTGAGGCATCACCCTCCACGCAGGAGATGGCAGTGCCCTAGTCTGGCCACGGCTGTGACGTGGAGGTGCAGGGTGTGGAGCATCTCGCTTGTCTTGTCGGAAGAGCATGTGTTGGAGCTACAGCTTGTGGGTGCATCTCCTGCTAACGCCTGCACCACCGACTGACCTGGGACTGGAAACGGGAGGCAGGGCTGTGGTGTGGATGCTTCTCTCGTGGTAGTAATTGTGTCCTGTCTTTCCTCTTTTCCTGTGTCAGGTTGGCTCAGTCCTTGTTTGCACTCTTTGCCTCGTCACTGGCAATCTCCTTGGTCTTTGCCATCATCCCTCTGTGCCACAATGTGGTGGTCCTGGCCGTGGTCATGGCTGTGGCAGGACTGGCCATGGGTTGCATTGACACTATCTCCAACATGCAGCTGGTGAAGATCTACCAGAAGGACTCGGCCATCTTCCTGCAGGTGAGCATGGAGCCCGAGTCTCCCCTCTGGCTGTGCTTCCTCCTCTGAGGAAGAGGAATGAGGGGCTCCAGCCAACCTCCCTGCAGAGAAGAGCAGTAAAGTCCCCTGCCCTACTTGCATGTCTCATCTCTTGCAGGCCCTTCACTTCTTCGTGGGCTTTGGAGCGCTGCTAAGCCCACTGATAGCTGACCCTTTCCTCTCGGACACCAACTGCATCCTCTCAAACTCCACGGCCAATGCCTCCAGCAACCTCCCTCACATCCGCAAGTCCCTGGTCCCGCACCATCCAGGCAACCTGTCTCATTACGACCTGCCGATGAAAGGCATGGTGGTCACACGCGTCTCCTACGCCTTCTGGATCATGGCCCTCATCAACGTAAGTGCTGCAGCCGGAGTGGCCCAAGATGTTTGCTGGGGTCATCCCTGTTTCTCGGCTTTGTAGATGGCTGTGGTGTTTGGGGGGTGTTGGTGCCTGGTGGGTGGTCCCAGTAATGGAAGGAGGCGTGAGGATGGTTACGCTGGTCCACAGGAAAGTTTCATTTTTTTGTCAAGTGTCCAGTTTCCAGCAGGTGCCGGGGGCAGGGCTCTGCAGAGCTGAGCCAGCGGTCAGCACACCATCTGAGATGTGATAGGGTCGATGTACCAACCGGGGGAGGGGGATTTGTCTGATCTCTCTGGGAGCAGGCTGTACCTCCAGCATCCCCCGGGCAGGAGTTATATCAGCTAAAGACACTCGGAGCCTTCCTTGGCCTTCCTCCCTGGTCAGTCTGGGGAGGAGTTTGGTGGCGTGGGGATGGCTTGATGGGAGGGCGATTTGCAGTGGTATTCATGGGATAGTGCCCATCGATGAGCTGAGTTACTGGGGCCAAGAGCTTGATCAGGGTGTCTCTGCCTATTTGTTACGTTTCCCTGGTGATTTGCAGCAGATGTAAAAGCCCTGTAGCCTTTCCTTTGTGAGAGAGACGGGGGTTTAGTGCCCATCCTCTTTCTCTGCCCTGCTGAGTCCCAAAGCTGATCTCCAGCAAGCTGCTTTTGCCTGCAGGCTCTCTTTGAAATGTCACCCTGCTCCTTACCCACCTGCCCCCGGTTAACACCCAAATCCCAGCGTGGTGAAATACAGCTGGTCCCTCGCGGGGCTGTGGCCGTGGTCGTGCCCATCCCGAGTCCCCCTGCAGCAGAGCTGAGCCACCGCTGTCATTTCCGTGGCAGCAGGAGCGCGGGTGCGATTGTCCCCGTAGATCCAGAGCGATCGGAGCAGAGCACGGTGCCGCAGCGAGCGGGATTCCCCCCCCCCACACCCCCCCGTGAGCAGGGCAGAGCCAGCCCATGTAGCCCTTCCCATGGGGAGCTCTATTGCCTGTTTATAAAGAGCGTGCCAGGGCAGGGACTGCCAGACTGGTGCCCGTTTTGCTCACCTGGAGACCTCCTGTAGCGGAAGGGAAGGGTGATCCCGCCTGTCTGCCCTGCAGCCCCTTCCCTGGGCAAGTTTAGCTGTTGCCTTTCTGCCAAAACATAAGGATGTGCTGGTGCTCCTTCCCCCTGTCCCAGGCCAACCAGCGGCCCTTGATCTCCCACTGCTCCGTCCGCACCAGGCAAAGGGATCAGGTTTCTCTGTGCTCTTGGTCTTCCCATTTGCTGAATAACTAAAACACACCCCAGTACCCCTAATCCAGGGGCTTCTGTTAGACCGAGGCCCATGCAGCTCGCTGATGTGAGAAGAGGCAGCCGAAATAGCTAGGTAGGTGCTGTAATGAGTTGCCTTGCAGAAGTACCAAAAGAATGTTCTCTGCCTAGGAGGAGAAGCCAGCTTTAATTACCTCTGACTCTGCATGTGCTATGGGAAATGTCCTTTTAATTACACCGGAGCGTTATCTATTTTGCCAGTCAGTCCTGAGCAAACTAATTTAGTTTGGAAGGCAGCATTTAATATCTGCATTGAATACGACAATGTGTCTGATATCTGGAGCACTGATGGGAGGGTGGTTGTCAGATCCCACTCTCCTCCTAGCAGTGTCCCTTAGACACTTTGGGAGCAGGATGGGACCCTAGGCTGAGTCCCGCTGTGCCCAGCAGAAGGTCACGAGCTGGGCTTTTCGCACGCTCAAGTGCTGTTTACACGTGCAGGTGGTTTGCACGTGTGTGCACACGCTGCGTGGGATCAGCAGGAGCACTGCAGGGAGTCCCGGGGTGCTGGGGGACTGATGGGGTTTGGGGGGTGAGGGTTGGGTAACAAACATAAGAGGAGAGGGGAGTCTGACACACGCCGTGCTCATGGCTCTTGAGCGTGTCCCCTTGCCAAAGCTGAGCTTATTGCCTTTCCCGAAGCCTCGCTGAGGGAGCTGACTTGATTCCTTGTTTAAACTAAATAACCCAACCCACTGGCTGGAGATACTGAGAGTAGCTCAGCTCTAAAACTGCCGACTCTTCTTTAAGGTGTAAACATCAGAGAAAGATGATGATAATTGATATGTAAAACCCCAGGGAAGTGGATGGAATGAGTAAGCTATAGAAATGGAAACCAGGACCAGCAACTTTGTTATAAAAGGCTGAAAAACACATTTCCATGCCAGTTTCACAGGGTTGTGTGTATTCTGACAAGACACAAACTGAAATGATTCATTTCAATTTCTTGCTTTGTTTAAATGTCTCAATTTGACTTTGGCATAAACGCAACGTGTAAAGCTGACAGAATAGTTGTTTCGATGTTATTGAAGCAAAATGTTTTTGCTTTAGTAAAATTGAGCGGTTCAACATTATCAAAATGAAGTGCTTGGATGACTCCTGGCCAAAATTTTTCATTCTAACAGAAAATCATCCAGATTTGGAACAAAAACATATTTTAAAATTTGGTTTCCCACAGAACGGATATTTCATCATCCAGCCCGTTCCAAGGGGCTGGAAATCAGGAAAATGTTCCTCCGAGAGGGATGTGTTTGTCCGGAAGGTGGTTTCCCAGGGGAAGTGCGGGACACTCCATTGTGCTTAGGTTGCTTAAAAGTAGTCTGGATACAATAGCAGGGACCAGTCCCGTGCTCCTGGGGAGAGAGAGACTGAAATAGAAACTGGAGGGAAGGAGCCTGGATTATACCCACACTTAATTGCATGATGTGGCAACTTGTTGAGTTTATAATAACGGTTAAAAGCTGCCAGGGGGAGGGGAGCATCCCTGGCAATTCGGCGAGTGGAGCTGGAGCGCCGGGTCCGGGCAGTGCAGCTCTTTCTGCCTGCTTTGCCCTTCGGCCCGTGCAGATTCCTGGCGGGATGCTCAGACATCCCTCTCCCCCTTAAAAAAAAAAAGAAAAAAAAAAGCCTTCTGCCAAAAAAGGTGAAGCACAGTTGCCCTGGGAAGAAAGGCCGTGAGCAAATGGTTTTCTCACCCAAAGCTCTGCCTGCTCCAGAGGGAGGGCTGGGCACTGGTGTCCCGCGTGGTTGGGGACGGTGTGGGGCACCGCCGGCTCTGCAGGGCAGGGCGATGCTTTGAGGACCGATGTCTTTATTTTAGGGGCTGTGGCTCATCTCTGGTTCCTGCCGTTTGGGCTCCCTGCAGGGTGGGAAGGCTTTGATAGCCCTTTGCCTCGTGCCGGGCAGCCGGCGTGTCAGCCCCAGGGAAACCAAAGGTGCTGTAGGATCCTGTCCCAAGCTCGATGGCCTTGCCCCTGCGTATCGTGGCACGTGTCCTGGGCTGGCGAGGTTCCTGATCGCCACCCAACATCTCCAGTTGGGACATGTGGGAGCTGCGGGTGGGGAGAGGGGCTCAGCACCCTCCCGGAACCTCGTGGGCAGTGGAAGGGACAGTCCTCGAGCTGTCCTTGTCCTGTGGTTGGGGTAGGCTGCTCCTCCGGGGTGGATTTGTCCCTTTGCTTGGTGAAGCATGCCCTGGCAGGGCTCTGGTGCTCGGCTCTGTTTGCTCTTCTCCATCTGCCCGTGTAATAACTGAACTGCTTTCGTGGGTGCTCCGTTCCCCTGTGCACACCCCAGATTTATGGGTGGCCCCTCCTGGGGGTCAGGTGGCCACAGGGGACCGTCCCCCAGGCGATTTGCCAGCCAGTGTGCAGGACACAGGGCTGGCCCAGGATGGGGCCCTGCTTTCTCTTGTGCTTGATCCTTTGCTTTTCCCCACTTTCCCGAGTTGGCTCTGACGTGGTGGCAGCCCGTGGGTGAGGGCTGCACTGGGCTGTGGGTGAGACTCCAGCTTTTGGGCGTTTCCTACCAGAAACGGCCAGTGCTGGCGAGCAGCTCGTGGGTGGTGGGGTCAGAGCACTCGTGCAGCCGAGGTGCTGCCAGCTTCAGGATGGTCCAGCCTGGATAAAGCAAAAGGGACCTGCTTGCTTTAGAGCTGAGGATCTGGGGAGCAGGGACATGCCTAAGGTTTGACTGGGAACCGGGGGAGTCTGGAGATGGGGCCCTTTTCCACAGAGGCACCAAGTGCTCCTTAAGGCTGGAAGTGCCCAGAGACGTTATCTGTACAGCCAGTCCCCCTGCTTGGGTATTTTTTTGCAAAATCTGCAATTTAGAAGAATAAAATCTGGTCCTGACCTCCGGAAGGATTAGAACTATCAAGCAAATGCGTTTTTCTTCCATGGGACCGAACTAACTGTTCCTATTCCCATTGTTCCCAGAACAATGAAGTCCTCGTAAATGAATTCAGGCAAGAGAGGCGGGGTGGGGAATTCTCCATACATTTAAATCATGCCATGAGCCAACAAAAGGCAGGAAATTTGGAGCTAGAGCTCACACTTGCTCACAGACATGTAGAAAACAAGCGCTCAGCGGCTGGAGAGTGAGCTGTCACTTAGGATTTCCTGGCTTTCTCCCCCAGTTTGTTGCAGAATAAACACCACTTGGTTGCAGTGGGAGGAGAAGGGAGGGCTGGCGAGGGGCAGACCCAGCTTCATTTGCTTCCCTTTGGTTTCTCTCCAAAAAAAAAAAAAATAAAAATCAAGTCCCTCTGGGCTTGGAGGCACCAACGAGTCGTGGGTGTGTGCAGGGAGCAGGCTCGGGAGCTGGGTGCTGGGTCCAGTGGGCAGGTACAAGCCCACGATCCCCACGAGCATTAGCACAGGGAAATTGGGAGCCTTCCGTGAGCGTCAGGAAAGCCCTGGTCGTGGGGGGGGTGGGGGGATCTCTGCTCTTCAGTCCCGGGTCCCGCAGCAGAGCCTGTACCGAGGGGCTGTTTGAAGCTGTTTGGCTGTAGTGGTGCTGCTGCTGTTGGCCTGGGAACCGCGAGCTCATCTCTTATGAGATGCTGAGCAACCTCTGCTAATGGCTGGAAAGGGGCAAAGCTGCTTGCTCTTCCCTCGCAAAGAATTTCAGCTGCAGGAGGTCTCCCTTTTAAAACTTCTGCTCTCCACAGGCAAAAGCTACTTTTACAGTTTTACTCTTTGGGCAGAAGTGGCCAAATGCTTGAAAAACAGACCATTTTGGTTTTGAAGGGCTGATCTGGTGCTTTATGAAGTTTGTATTTAGGTGCTTTCTGTTCGTGTCCCTGACCCCATCCCAGGTGAATGGTTCCCATCCCACAGGGACTGGCGGGAGATGCCCCCCCCCACCCCCAGCTGCTCTCCGGATCAGGAACTTTTGCTCTCAACTTACCTTTTTGGGTTCTTCCCCTCCCTAGTAGCTCACCTAACAAACCTCCATCCCTCCTGCAGTGGCTCCTTACCCCATCGCCAGCCTCTGTCCTCTGGGAGGTTCACTCAGGCACATCTATTGCAGATGCTGGGCGCAGCTTCCTAAAAGGCGGCTGTGGCTGTGGGAGTGGACTGTGTTTTGTGTGAGGTTTGTCGTGCTCACCTGCCCCTCTCTGTTCCTCCCCAGCTGCCGGTCCCCATCGCGGTGTTTTTCTTGCTCTACAAGGAGCGGATGGTGCCGTGCTTCAACAGCAGCAGCCACCCACTGCTCTCGGCCGACGAGCTGGCGATGGAAACGCGGCCCGTGGAGAAGGACGATCTCTCCACCACCGTGCAGAGACCCCAGGGAGCAGGAGGTGAGCTGGAGGCACCTCTCTTACGGGTTTGGAGGAGCAGGGAGGGGTGAGCAGGGGGAGAAAAAGCCATATTGCTGGGTGTCTCCGTTGGGTTTAACACGTGAGATCCATCGCCAGTGTCTAAGGAGGAAACTTTCCAAAACATACACGTGAATGTAATCCAGGAGTACCCGAACAGATAATTCGGTGCCCAATTGCCCTTGAGTTAGATGGGACCCAGGAACAGAGATTAGGATCTTGCTGTTGGGATTCCAGGCTGTCCTAAAACTAAACCTGGGCTCCCACGTTATTTAAGCACTCGTGAAAGTTGTGCCCCTTCGTTTCGTTCTGGTTTTTCAGTCAGGTTTTGAGCTGGCTCTGCTGACTCTTCAGTTTAGAAGCGGTCATCGTGCTGCAGAATGTTGTTTTTTATAAAACTGAAAGGAATAAGGACAGCACCCTTGTTTGAGGGGAAAATTTAAACTCCAGCAAATGTTTGCTCTTGAACTTGTGACTACACCCTGTTTTGGGGACAATAGTAACACTGTTCTTTGTCACCCAAGAGAAGCATATCAAAGTAAATTCTTCAGCTAAATCGTGAATCTCGGAAGTAATCATATTTTAGGGTTATCAGAGGGGCGTTTAGTGTTATTACAGAAGAGATGGCTTTACCTGGACAATAAAAGGAAATTTTAGGGGGGATACTTGGAGAGGGAGGCACTTAAAGATGTGATGAGGTGCTACAGGGGGAAGGATCATAGGTGTCCCTAGCAGAGTGGGTTCTCTGGTGTCTAATAATGTTGTGCTCATCTGATAGCATTTCCCTTAGCTGAGACACTGATGGTTTCTTTCCTCAAACCAGCTGCCCATTTTCATACGACCCATTGGAGCTTCACATTCTTCCATCTTCCTCTTAAATGCAGTTGAGATTAATCCTTAGAGAAGCGGGAAGGCTGTACGCTGATTGCCGCAATCTTTGACAGACGCGTCTGTGCTGGCAAAATTCTTCCTTCCCCCTAGAATTAGTGAGAATTTCATCTTTGCCACTCAGGACCCACTGTCTCACCTGCACCGGCCTTCCAGTGCCGCGACCTTAACGCCAGCCCTTTGCACGTCCCAGAGTGGTGTGATTATAAGCACGAGGATGGGAGAGTCAGGGATTCCTGGGGTCCTGACCCCCAGCTTTGGCAGACTGTCGCTCCCAGTGGTCTAATTAGAGGAGATGACGCTATCTGTGTATTACTGCTCTCTTTTCCAAAGTTGGCTTGTTTGGTTAAATATCATTTACGTGAGGAACGTCAGCTATCCTGGGCAGGGCTCTCCTGTGTGGTGCTACCAAGGACGAGGGGCTCTGAGCCCTGTGCTGTGGCCAAATGGGCTTGTTTCTGTTGACTGTAAGAGCAGGGCAAGCAACGTGGAGCTCCTAAATGGGAAGAGGAGCACAAGCAGCTGCAGTAAGAGAAGTAGCGAGTATCCTGGAGAGCTAGGATGCCGGTCTGTGGACAGCAGCCCGTAAGTGTATCAGTCTTCCTTCTGAAAGCTTAGAGGTAGGTAAAGAAAGAGGTGGTGCCAGCAGAGGTTAGCAGTGCTCCACATTGTTCACCGTCCTCCCTGAATCTCTGTCGTGCGGCTGAGCGCAAAACAAATCCCCATTGCGGGCTGGCAACCACCCAGCCCCAGGGGGACCTTCCAGCTAAGTTTGCTTTGCATTGTTTTTCACCAGGTCATGATGACTTATTTAGCTGCTGCCAAAGCAAAAACTTCAGAGGGGCTTCTTACACCTACTTCGCAGTCCACATCACTGGGGCTCTTGTTCTCTTCATGACTGATGGGATTGTGGTGAGTTCAGCTGATAGAGGGATCTTGTCTGAGCAAAGCTATACAGCTTTCTTCCTTCCAAACCACTTGTAATAGCCCAAATGCAGCACGTGCCCTCTGCGTGCGGCGGGCTGGACCCGAGGGTCTGCCGCTGCAGCAGTCGGGTTCCAAAGGTAGCTCAGTCAAAGCTAATTAGCCAGGCTGATACGTGCCCTGCTTCTTGGGAGGGTTTTGTGGCTTCTCCTCGGCTCTGTGTGGTTGCAGCTAGATTGCTCCTAACCTAGCCAGTTTAGAGCTGGAGTTTTGACGACGTCTACTTGAACGCAGTTGGAGGTCTCTTCTCACTTCAGCGAAGGGGCAAGAACAGCTTCGTTTTGTTTCAGAAGAAAAGGTGGCTTTTTGTGTGGTGGGTCTCCTGAGCCCTCAAAACCCCAGAGGAGAGCAGGCGGGGATGGTGCAGTCTCTCTGTAGCATGTCCCCAGCCGGCGCAGTCCCGTGGCCTTCGCCGTGTGTAGCTCTTCTGTCTGGGCGAGGAAGGCTCGCTCTTGGCTGGCAAGGGGCTGTTCTTTTTCTTTCAACAGTTTTGTGTCAGTCCCCTCCTGGTAAAATACTGCTGGGTCTTACTAGGGCATGAAATAGGGTCCTGAAAGATGAGCAGGGATACACAAAGCACCTGTCAGATACGGGAACTTGCCAGGGTCTCCACCTTCAAGGATGATCAACTCCAGGTTCTCAGTGCGGTCTGTTTTTGAGAGCATGCAGTTCCAAAAGGACAAGACAGTCCCTAGGGAAGAGAGCATCTCTACGGCTAAGGGCTGAGCATGCATTTTACCTAGTAATGCTGTTAAGTCTTGCCCTTTTAGGAGAGCTTAAGTCCTTCTATTTCTGGTGGATGCCTGTCTCCAGCTGCAAACCCTTGGGAACAAGGCTCACTGAGATTTAGCAGCAAATCCGTAGGTGGGCTCTCCAGCGCTATCACAATAATGTGAATAATTGAGGGAGAGGTTGAAGTTAAAGTTGCAAAGCCTGTGAGTCATCACAACAATGTGACAAGCTCTTTTGTTTTCCTTGCAGGGAGAGTACTCGGGCTTCATTTACAGCTACGCGGTGGAAGAGCCCCTCTCTGTAGTACACAAAGTGGCTGGCTACCTGCCCAGCCTCTTCTGGGGATTCATCACGCTGGGCAGGCTCATCTCCATCCCAGTGTCCTACCGAATGAAACCAGCAACTATGGTCTTCATCAATGTGGTAAGGCTGCTTTTGCTGGTTTGTTTTGGTTGGTTTTTTTTTTTTTGTTTTGTTTTGTTTTTTTTGTTTTGTTTTGGTTTGGTTTTTTTGTTTTTTTTTTTTTTTCTGCTCGCCTCACGAGATGCCGTCTCGTTTTGGTTTTGATGCGCAGAGCTACAGCTACTCCCATGGCAGACCCAGGGGAGGTTTGCGCCAGGCAGCCGTCCCGGCTGAGCTGCATTAGCCTTCCCCTGCATCGCCGATCTCTGCATGTTCGCAGCTGCCCCTGATGCACGAGGTCACCAGGATGTACAACTCGATTGCGCTGCTTTTCTGAGCTTGCTCCTCAGTTAATGTAATGTTAGATTTGTGAAAGAACCTAGTGAGGCGTCTGCCAACTTTGTTTATTTTGCACGCTGTCTTCTCTGGCATCTACGGGGAAAGTAATGCTGGTGTTAGCCATGGGAAAGGGAAAGCAGATAGGACTGTAGCAGCTGTCAAAGAAACCGATGTGAGGTTTCTTAAATTAATAAAACACATTCACTTGAAGAAAGGAGAAGGAATCCTTTAAGGGTATGTAAGAAAGATGCATGTAAGGATGTGGCAGACACCAGGGAAGGATTTGTTCCCATTCACACTTCTTACAAACAAAAATAAACAAGTGAGAAAGCAGTTAGTTTACAATTTATTTAAAGCAGAAGTTATTTTGGTAGCAAGCTTCACAGTTAATATTGCAAGGCCAAGAATATATGACAGGAAGGTGAGAGAACAGGAGTGACAGTTCACACTGGGACATTTTGAAGATGTAGGCTGATGTCGTCTGCAGGCAGGTGAGGCAGGCTTGGCGCTTGCTCCTGGGCACTTAGAAAACTGAGCTTAGACACCAACAGATGCAAGTGAAATGTGGTTGTTTTAAAAATGAGTGTAACCGCCTACTTCATCACCCAGTCGCTACTTACAGGGGAGCAGGGAGAGCTCAGCACCCGCAGATCTATCGCGGCTGTCTGATACGGACAGGCCTGTGCGTCTCCTTGATGCCTTACTCACTTCTCCGCACTGCACGACTGCTCTGTGAACAAACCTGAGGCCAGGAATTCTGCTGTAGCTGCTGCTGGTATTTGGGGAGAAGAAGGAATAGCTTCCAGCCTTGAATCAGAACCCTTCTCTTCCCCTTAAAGGCAAGGGTAGTAGTATCAGCCGAGGACAGACAGTGACTTGACTGACACTGAAGCCTCCGCGCAATGCTTGCTCGTTGGTGCTGCTGTATACGGGAAGACACACCAGCTCCTGGAGTCATTTCAGCATTATAGCAAACCGCAGTTTAAATTCAATTTCTTTAGAATCCAAATTGCTCTGGTGAATGTGCACACACTCATAATCCAGGCCTAAACAACTAAGAAAAAATAACTTGAGTTGGTATTGCAGAGCTCCCTCTGCTGTCTCCCTGTGCCAGGGATAACTTAGTGCATCGAATGTTTTTGTTATTACTTGTGCCCTACAGCAAGCCAGAGGGGAGGGCAAGTTTATTTAAATTTAGTTGGTTCTTTGGCTTTACTGCTGTGACTGGTTTCTGAGCAGCTAGTGAGAATGAGTTAATTCTTTAACCTGCTGAATGAGACTTACTAGTGATTGAGACATGTTACTATTATGGAAGTAGCAGTACTATTGTATTTAAAGCTGCAGATAAAAATTATTTTTTCAGATACAATCTTAAGTCTCTACTCAGTGCAGCTAAGACTTATGCACTGAGTTATGTTATAGAGCCCTGTTATAAAAAGTACCAATTTTTTTACTGTAGATTAATTTTATTTGGCTAGTTACTTCTGTTTTTCAGAGATCACTGAAAAAAGATCAGTTTATTTTCTTTTCCAAACTGTTTTCTACAAAAAAAAAAAAATTCTAGAGCCTATTACAACTCAACATTTACTTTCTTAGTGACCTTGTGTGTGTTGTTCACAGGTCGGAGTCCTGATAACCTTCCTCCTGCTCCTGATTTTCTCCTACAGCGTTGTCTTCTTGTTTGTGGGGACTGCCTCTCTGGGCCTGTTTCTCAGCAGCACGTTCCCCAGCATGCTTGCCTATACTGAGGACATCCTCCAGTACAAAGGTGAGCAGGGATCTGGACATGCCTGGCAGGCTCTGAAAGCAGTGGGTGTTCAAGAGTAGATACCATCACACCTAGCAACTCCTTCCCTCTGCAGAGGCTGAAGGATCTAATTTCAAATACAGTGTTTATTCAAGCTTGTAGTCAGAAAACCAGACTGCACAAATCCTGGCTTCGTTGTAGTAATAACTTCTACAGACAGGGATCCAGACTGGCTCTTAGTTTCCTGCAGCTTTAGGGTGCTCGGGGACTGACAAGAATGTCTGTGTGAGAGGCTTACGGGGTGCTAGTTTTGAAAACATTGTCCAGATTATCACTGAACTGAAAATCCTTGAGTTTGGCCAGGTCTTACAGGAGGTCTCTGCCAACCTCCATCTCTGGGGCAGTGATACAAGAGAAGGAAAATCTTATCACCAAGAAGCGACATCACCTCTGCCAAGAGACGGGTAACGGAACAGGAGATGGTTTTCTGGCTTCAACTTTTACCTTTCTGCACTACCGCAGGTTAGAAGAGGCATTCTCAACACTAAATGGGAACACACATGAGTGTTTGTAAATCTTGTATGGAGAGATCCATGAAAGAGCACTCTTAAGAAGCTACAGGCTGATCCGATCCTGCTGGCTGTTTCTCCTGTTCCCTGCCAACAGCACTTGCACCATTTCTTTGCAGGCTGTGCCACAACCGTGTTAGTGACCGGAGCTGGAATTGGAGAGATGGTACTGCAGTTACTGGTGGGATCGGTAAGTGTAGACAAAGGAAAGACAAGGCATGCCAAAAACTGACTGCAACTTTTAAGCAGAAATCTTGGTCCTACTTTTGGACAGCTGCTGGGGAAAAAGCGATGCGTTACCCTTGAGCTATCAAACAGTAAACACCTTGCTGAATGCTAATGAGGAATTTGAATGCTGTGATGACATACCTGCTCCCTTTCCCCCCCCCCCCCCCTCTTCAATTGCAGATTATACACGATCAGGGCAGCTACAGCTTCCTGGTCTGTGGGATGATCTTTGGAGGCTTGGCCTTTACCTTCTACGCTTTCCTCTTGTTTTTCCACAGGATGTACCCCAAGCCCTCATCAGGTAAGAAAGCACCAGCACTCAGCCCTGCTTTATAATGAGAGGAAGAGTGGCATGTGCATCAATACATAACCAGGGTGCAGCACTTCAGCAAAATGCAAGGAAATGTTTATTTTACTGCTGCTTCCTGTCCCCTCTTCCTGCTTTGACTTGTCCACAAAGCCTTGGCAGCAGCAATTCAGGGTTTGCTTTTTCTTTTCTGTTGGAGAAGCAAGGGAAAAAGTAGGAATGGTCTGTGGATGACGGGAACTATAAACCACGTGGGAGGCTCGCTGTGGAAGCATTACTCGGCTACTGCACAGACAGCACAAGCTTCCCTACGCTGTTCCCTGGCTAAAATCCAGGGAGTGATGGGTCTGCCATCCAAAGGCAGCTGTCAGGCTCCTGAGAGGAGCCTCACTGATAAAGGATTTCTCTTGCCTTATCACCTCAGTCTGCATATGCTATTTGTTTCTATAAGCACCTTTTACAAAAGGAGTGCTGCGTGACAGGCAAAAATCTTGTCAGAGTTACTGGTAAGGGGGGCTGGGTGACAGAATAGCAACATTCAGGTCTGGGAGAGCTCGTGTAGGTTCTCTTAAAGCTCAATAGAATCTGTACCTTCAGATGAAGGATCCGATATCAATTTTGCAGATATGGATGATGCCTCACCTGACAAACCAGCAGTAATGGATGACACAGGACAGTATCAGCGCTAAAGAAGTGGCCAAGCTCCAGCCAAGCAATAAAACAACACCCAGTTAAGCATTACTATTAAGGATGATTTCACGTTTAATGACTGAATCACGCAAGTTTTCTGCAATCAAAAGCACATTAGATTGGGTAAGTCAGAATCAAGAAAACATCCTAAAACACTGCATCAAGCTAAGCACAAGCTGCCCCTCTCACATGTACCAGAACGGCATCTGTAACCGTCAGCCTGACCCTGTGCCTGGGAGGCCACGGTCCAGGGCAGGGGTGCTGGGACAACAGTCACTCCTGCAAATGAACTTTCTTACCAGTTCAGGATGGGGAAGGAAGAGGTTCTCTGTCCCATCTCTAAGACTGAGTATCTCCTGATTTAGTCACTGAACTTATCAGATTTTTTTCTTTTGGCCTGTAACATACCTATGCCCCTACAATTTTACAGCACAATACTGGATTTGAATTAATTTTTGTGTCACGCTGACTCAAGCATGCACACTTCCACTGGGGAAAAATGACACAATTGGTAAACCCCCTCCAAGTGCACAGTGGTAGCAGGACCTATCTCTCTTTGCACAGTTGATTCTTGTATATTAACAGTATCAGACATGTTTGCTAAGACAGTGTCTTATTCAGCATGCTAGGGTCTCTTGATTATTAAAATCATTAGCTTTTTTTTTTTTTTTTTTGAGCCAAGATTGAGTTGTGATGGTTTGTTTTGCTTAAGTCACTAGTTTAGCTGCTACAGTTGCAGTGTCTTTTAGGGTGGTTTTATCGCTAGCTTCCAGTTGAAGCTTAAACAGAGGTATTTGGGAGCCAGCCTCCAGCTGCTTAATCTGTGCAATACTTATTATACCAGGTGCCTTCTGTAAGGTACTCTCATAACCCACGCATGACCTGTTACAAGCTATGAAGAAAGGACTGGCTTTAGAAGAGTATAAAGCTACATACATCTATTTCTTCAGTGAGTGATTGGACATGTATTTTTTGCTTTAACTGCTGTATGTGGATGTACATATGTACGTGTGTATATAAAGCAGTGTTTAATTAAAGGTGATTGATTGCTAGATTCTCAGCACGACTGGGCTCGGGTAACTTAAGCCGTTTCTGGCCAAGACTACTGGCTACTACCTTCACCAGTTCTAGCTTTCAAATTCCGACTGAAGTTTAACTTAAACTAGTTCTAGCATTTCTGGTTTTCCAAGTACTAGGTCTTACCTTCCATAAAATATCTTCACAAGCTCCCACGGGTGGTTCTGTAGAAAAAGACTCAAGACAGTAGACTTGTGGAATTGACTTTGCACACCTAAGGCTGAGTGTGCATCAGCCCAATGCAGAAGTGGATGAAGGCGGTTGAACTCTGGGCTTAACTCAGCCACGGACCCCAGGAGCCCTCCTGCCTCACAGCCAGTGCAGCCCATGCTGTAATGCTTCTCTAGTACCACAGGATGCCACTGTTACTCTCCTTGAGATATCCAGAATGAAAAAAGGATGCACTGCAAAACCCACTTGCAGCAAAAAAACCCCAATCTGTCATTAACAGAGCTCCTCCCACCATGACAGCATTCTCTCCATTCCTATACAGAGGAAATGAGCACAAAACAATACAACGAGGGAGTTTGTTTTGAAAGAAGTCTACTCAGATTACATATATATCACACCAGGGACTTGTCAGCTATTAAAAAAAAGCTTTCTGTCCTTGCAGAGTGATACTACATAGCTAAATGCTATTGCCGGAGTAACAGTGCTTTTGTTAGAAGTGTACTTGACAATTCAGATCTCTGCTTTGCTATCGGCGCTAGACAGAACAGAGCTACTCACCAAAGGAAATTTTCACCAGGAGAGAACAGTACCTGATCTGGCAAAACAACTGTGCAGCCACTTACAAAGCCAGCAACAGCAACTCCATCCCGGTCTCCACTGAAGCAAGATGTGAGAGCCGGTGCTGCTGGGCACAGATGGGTTAGCTCAAGGTCTGATGAACTCCCCCTTACCACAGAGCGAGCTGCCCTGCAGCTGTAACTTTCAATTTCCTCTACTGAAAAACACAGCCAAAAGATCAGAAACTTTGTTAAAAATATTTATTTAAAAAAATACAATTGTTTTGCATGTCTGGTTGCACATAACTATTAACATATGATTGACTTGAATAATTTGCTACAATGCTTTTTTAAAGCCAGCTTGCATTATACAAAGCAAATCCCTCTGTCAGTTCTTACATAAAATAGTTTTCTTTAACTATTCCCACCCCATTTTTAAAAAAGATTGCAATACATTGATTTTTTTTTTTTTTTTTTTTTGCACAAAAATTGAAGCAATAGAAAAGTCACCTGATTTCTCAGGAAAGACCTTCATTATGTTTGAATAACAACTGCCAATAACGCCACTCTTTAAAAGCAGCTTCTGTTACTTTGAAGAGTCATTACAGTGCACTTCCTCCAAAGTAAGTTTTGCCTCCAAATTGTATTCAAACCTGAAATGTGTTCAAATAACTGCATATCTGCTATAAACAAGTTGATCAGACTTTTTTCAATATGGTATCAACATGCTGAAGGTCTTCCTAGTATGTTATCTTGGAAGGTTAAATAAAAGCAAATTTAGTAACACTGAACAATTACTGAAAACTTTGGCTATTTATGTACTTGCATTACATACCAGCATTTTTTTGAAAACACAATGGCATTAAGATACTCTTATTATAAGGTATTACTTTCAAAAAAGTTAGACTGAGAAGCTATTCTCTCCCCGGCAAGTTTACCCAACTGTAATAAGAACACCCAAGCGGTGTAAGATTACAGTTGCCTCTAAAAGACCAGGTCTAGAAAAAGTCTCCAGTGTAGGAAGTTAAGACACTCACTACAACGTAACTTGCTTTGTCTCTTGACTCGGTACTGTATATATATATATATCTATAAAAAAAAAATGCAATTCTGTTCTGGAAAGAGTAACTGAAAACATTATCTCTGCTGCTGTCAATGCAATTTTTACCACTGAAGGTTCTACTAAAATTACAGGAAAATAAACTGGAATCCATTCCAGAGTTAAAAAGTAAGTAAGTTAACTAGCATTAGTGCCTGCTCAGCCTGTCCCAAGCAGAGACATCAGAGGTGCTGTAGTATAAAAAACACCGCAGACATCACCTTGCTGATTTGCAAAAAAAACAGGTTAACCTAAAAATTCAATTGAGGAATAAACACTAAAGGCATCAGAAAGTCACTTTCCAAAGCAGATGTGCACTTTAAAAATAAACAGAACAACTGTCGCACGTTACCACAGCTGATTAGGTTGCTGAAGTTCCCTAAAATTTCACTCCAACTTCTCCCCCCTGACTCTATCTGAGCCATAGACGAAAAGCTGCAAAGAGCAGATTCTCAGCCGGTGGCAGTCAGAGCAGTTGCAGCGAAGCCAACAGATCGATTCTGATTTACACGCCTCTGGCACACGCTCCCCATCTGCCAGCGCCCGCTCCCAGATTCTCATCATTCCCAAGACAAAGTCTCACGCTGGTTAACGATCCCTGTGCAGAGTTGCTTCAGTTCCAAATTAATTCCAGCTGTCCTAATACATATTAGAGGAGACAACCACTATCCTTACCATACATGTTGCTAGAATTTTCCCATTTATTCATCTCTATTATTAAGAATATACTTCTCAGCTATAAAAACAGAGGGGGGGGGGGGGGAGATAAGCATTCAATGTGCTACTGTACTTATCACAAACACTGTGACGTACATAAGGCCATCTGGTAACACTGCAACAGAATACAAACAAGATTTTAAAAGGGAGTTTTAGAATAACAACTTTTTTTTTTTTTTAACTACAATGAATAATCTCAACCCTGTTCACAGAGAATTAACGTTAAAACTAGTACATCATCTATATAAAACTCTGTGCAACTGAACAACAGCAGAACAAAAAGTCAACACAATTCTATAAAGCAGTTTCAAAGCCTGAAGATTTAAGACATGCTAGCCAAAAAAAACACAACACATCTCAAGGAGCCTAGAGCAAACCCAGGTATTGTAACCCCCCCACCCCCCAGCACACAGCACACACTAGGAACCATGCAGAGGCCGTCCTCAAAGCCTTCCTGTGTTCAAAAATGAAAGAAATAAAACAAACAAACAAACAAAAAAAAAAGAACCCCAAACAGAAACAAAACAAAAACAAAAAACCCAACAGCTTCCAGTTATTAGCACAGCACGGCTGCATGTCCTGCTCAAGGACTGACACGGGCTCCGCACGCGCCTTCCAACCTCCCCTCCCCGCGCTGCTTTACAGTCGAGTGTCTCCACTAGAAGACCCCTGTTTTCCAAAGGTTCATAATTATCCTGTTACACCCCCTGCTAAAGACCCCACTTTGAGATGAAAACCTTCTGCAACGCGTGGTCTCAATAGAAAAGCAAGTGTTTTAAGTAAAAAAAGAAGTTCAAACTTTTGTTCCATGAACATAAAAGTATTCAAAGACACATTTATGACACTTTTGCTTGGAAGATGCGGCGTACAACAATGTCAAAGATGCATTTAAAAATAACCTTTGGCAACTAGTTAGTGCACACTGTGGTATAATTGATTTGAGTACTCTTAAAAAAAAAAAAAAAAAAAAGTTCTGGAAAAACCTCACCAGCGCGTGCAAAACGTTTAAAAGCGGCAGCTGCACTGTGCAGTACCTGCTCAGAGTGAACACGGGAAGCGTTCGTTACCCGACTCGGGAAGCCAGACTACACAACGAGCACACATCCTCTCAGGCAGCGAGCATGTGCACACACGTATGTTCACACGCAGAGAGCTAGCCCAGGCTCAGTTAAACGATGCATCTAAAAACAAGTTTTCAGCTCTCAAAGGATGCTTTTTATCAGATCTCTGGAATAGCTCCACAGTCAAAGCCTTCTACTGCATTTCTTGGGAGGGGGTAAACAAAAATAAATGCTAGTCAGTTTTACTTTTTTTTTTTTTTGGTAGAATAATTTATATGCAGCAGACATCTTGCGATCCCAAAAGGGAAATACATTAGCATACACATTCAAGAAACACTGGGCCCTGCCCAGCTTTCTTACCTTGTGGGTCACATTTTTTGTTTTGCAAAGCATGGTTACCGTCAGCAAAGCTGCATCCTCCAAAAAGAATCAACATTCTGCAGTGAACATATTCTCCCTTATTTTTCTCTGGTTTTTGTACAAAGGCAAGACTAATACTCCTCAGTTCAAGATCCACTAGACACCCCAAACCAAAGCTCAACCTTTCTGCTTTAGACGGCACTAACACAGTCAGGAAATTTCAACAGGTCTGTTGATGATAAACCCACATTGCAGAATGCGGCAGCACTGCCCTTACTGGGGCTTTGTAGCTCCTGTGTTATAGCCTTATGACTAAAGGCAGGCTACAGAGAAAAGACTGGGTTCTATTTCCAAAAATTATTCTCCATCCAGAATCAGCTTTTACGAAGGGCTCCTACACAGTCGATACTACTCACTCAGACAAAGCGGGATGCCGTGTCCACAGACGTCGATCCAAGACAAAGCCTTTGCAATGGTCCTGAAGGACGCCGTAAAACAACTGTCACTGCACTTTATCTTTTCATCTTCATCTGACAGCTTCTGATTTCAGCAGATCAACTTTGGCATGTCACATATTAACCACACTCAACTTGATGGCAGTAGCCAAAGGCTTCCACGTTAAGCAGATCTGCTAATACTGTTTAGACTAAACAGCAGCCATTGCCAATTGCTGTTTAATTAAATTCAAATCAAACCATAAAAATTCCTGTTTAGGCAAGACATACTACACCTCATTAAAACATCCCGAAGAGCTTCTAAGCAACATGATTGCAATTCTAATGGATTTTCAACTTATCTGCCAAGTGTAAGATCCTGTGGGGCTCGGGCTGTTTGTTTGCAACACCGTGCTCCGTGATTATTAAGACAAAATAAACTATCTCTGCCCACGACCTTAGAGGCCAGAAGGTACATATATTTCTTACACAGGAAAACTAAGGAACAAAACAGAACAAAATTGTTATGGACACCCAAAACTCAAACATCAAGTTTTAAAATACCTGTCAACTTGGACAATGATCCTTAACTACCGATGTAGTTTATTTTCATAGCTGACAATACCAAGATAGCTTCTTGATACAACACTGAGATGTGTCTTGTAAACAAATACGCATTAACAATGGAAGAGGTTAAATTGTATAGTAAAACATGAGTACATAAAAAAATGCTAAAAAACAGTAGCAAAAGGTAGCTAAAGGATACATGAATAAACCATGGGTAGCCAACAGACCGTCAGAACTGCGGGTTCTGACCTCAGCACTAGAAAAATGCTACAGAAGAGGATCACAACTCTGAGCCTGTGCTCACCTGAGAAACCGCATCAACGCGCTAGGCTAGCTCTGTCATCCCATCGCAACCCGCAGAACCTCGCGCACCAGAGTGGAAGTCATGAGGGAATCTGACATTAATGCATCTCGCTGCATTTTGAAAAGCTGTGTAAAGGAACACATGCGCATAAGCAGCCTTCACCGTGGTTAAAATGAACGCTATACAAAGCAAGAAGAATCTATTTGCTAGCTATCGGAGGTTTAAAACATATCAGAGGGAGAAATTATCCCAAACAAACCACTGAATAACCAAAACCTTTCATATGATAATGCACACTCCATTATACCAAAGTATATGGATACTGGAGTCTTAGGACGCTCGAAGTTAAAACAATGATTTCTCAAATTCAAGGAATTTTATTACTTCATGACCTATTGCAAAATGCAACTCAAATGTGCCAAAGACAGTGCATAGGAATTACATTCAGCCATCACTGCTGAAGACTGATTTCCGAAACAAGGATCTAGACTTAAGCTACTGTTAAGAAAAAAAACAAAACAAAACAAAAAAAATGTTCCTCCCACCACCCTCACTATGAGGATCACATTCTTTGAAAACAGGTAAGACAGAAGAAGTATGGTTCTATAACCGGAGGGTATTAACAACACATTTCTGCTTTCCACGGATTATTTCTGCTAACAGCATCTGTTGCTAGTGGCATCCTGACAGTTCAGGATCTCAAAAAAAGCCAGACGTGGCGCACACAGCAACAGCAGTGCAAGCTTCCTAACTCTGCAGTACTATTATACAGCAGCAGTGACACGTAAAAGAGATTTCCAGAAGCAAGACAGATGTTCAGCTTCCATGCTCATCAAGTCTAATCCTACCACCATCTATGAATTAACCAATGCAAATATTATCAAGCATTCAACAATACCATGGCTACTTCAGCAACACGAATTGCAATGGAATAAAATGTTTCTGTAATGCTGCATTATTACTTTTTTAAACCAACACGGTACTATACCCATATTACAGACTGCTACCGTGATAATTAAAAGCCTATATTAACCCCAACCTTCCCTACACTAAATTAAAAACAAGTTGCAACGAGCTGCAAACTGCTCCAGAAGTGAGCTAGTAGAGTACCAGCAATTCACAATAACCAAGCTCCAAGAAGTCACAGCAACACTGTGCTCTGTCAGGAATGTGATCCAAAAAAGCTGGCAGTTATATACTTGCTAGTAAATGTGTGTTTAATGAAGCAGCATATATACAAGATAATATTACCTTAAGTGACCTGAAAGTTGTAATGGAGAAAAGGCGAGCAAGCCGCTCCTCTCCCACCTCCCCTCCCCTTTCAGTTGCTTTCCCAACTGCCTCCTGAGATTATAATCCTACACGGGACTTTTATTTTCCTAGGCAGGTGCTTCAGAAGCAAAAGCAATCATCTCCTCAGTGCTATCTGTCTGGAAGTTGGCTATTACCACTTTGAAACCAACACATACAGGCTGCGTTTTCATACTAACTTTCTCAGAAGAAGGTATTCCCGAAGGTGAGCGTGTATCTCAACCACCAGCTCTGGCAGTGCAATTTTACGAAGCTACTTGGAGAAGAGC